TATGGCCGTCGCTAACCGGTCAGACATATCTGACCGGCCTTCCCCCTATCCGCCACCTGGGGACGCGCCCGATGGGTAGCTCAACCTGCACGGGAAATTAGTTGGTTACAAGCCCAAGTAGGTAATCAAGATACGAAATGCTTAAGCCACTTTCCATGTTTTAAATTATTCTCAAAATGTAAACTGCGAATCCATGTTTTGAAATTACTGCGAAAATAAAAATCCCTTTTGCTTCAGAAAAATCGATGTGCTTTTGCGGACCGTATGGATATTATAGAGACGTTATTATGAAAAATAGTTTTCAAACAAAGAACCGTTCGAGTTTTAAGCTTACTTCACTTTTTCAAGCAACCAAAATTGCTTATGAAAATTAAGTAATAAGGGAGCAGGCGCCAAAAGTTCAAGAAGTAGACACAAATTGTATTTTATTTATTATCGTGCTATAGGATTAGTTGAAATATAGGACTCAAACAACAAGAAATAATAAAATATCATTAAAATGAGTAGATATTAAATATGTTTTAAGTTTACCTAAAGCAGTTTTTCTGCCGTTTTACATATTTTATAATCGAGCAATTATAAGTAATTTATTGCATATAATTTAATTTAAAAAAATGAAATTGTATAATCTTCTTGCAGATTTTCTTATACCGGAAATTTTTTAAAAATAAGCAGGAAATGTAACTGAAACTTGCCTACCAAGTTGAGATTTCTAGCCTCTGCTATTTTCTCTTATTCCATAGAGACCGCTAGATGTCTGGTGACTGAAGGCTCTATTTGAAACTGCTATTTTAAAAATGTAGAATGTAAATTAGAGGTCAGAATTAAGCAAAAATATAAATCATTTACTAGAAAGTAAGATGAGTGAATAATTACTGAAGCCTACAGGAATGAGAAGTGACCGTTGTATAGTTGAAATATACAACCTAATTAGAAAAGGAGGAGGCGTTAAGGCGCCAATCAACTACCCTTGTGAAATACAGCCGGCGTCACATAAAGATTTATTTTCGACTTAATGGGTTTTCCTTCGCAGGAAAATTGGGTAGCCCACGGATTCCATATTTACTCTTCTTATCTAATCTACCCACAGGAGAGCTAAAAGCACACGGGTATTTTGGGTTGCCTAGATTTGGGCGTGTCGTGGTGATCTGGGTCGATAACGCAGGTGTTCAAAGAAGGATAACTAGATCAAAATTTGGCGTGTTAGACAAATGAAAAAGATTTATGACGACTTGAATACAGGTCTGCCTTAGTGAAACGAACGAGGAGGCGGAGTTTCTCGTTGACGTCAGCTCATAATTTAGTCCAAGAACCATCTTGGAGGCCCATCCCCCGTCCTGCATGCAAAACTGAATTTGTCCTCTTTAGGGCTTGACGTTACTGTGTTTTCAGTGTTCTGTGATTTTAATCCACGCTCGTGGTACTTAGCAAATTCCATTTTCAATGTGTATGGCTATAGCGGTAAGTCTTTTTCAGTTAGATATAGGTGTGATTTTCCTTCATTGTTTTAGAAAGTTGGCTTAGGTTCTAGATAACTCCTTTCATAAATCATCTAATACTAACCTTCCGCTATTAGAAACTACTATACTGTGATTTTTGTAAATTATCTACCTAATGTACGATATTGAACATTTCCGGCAGGGAGAAGCATTAATTATAAAAAAGCATGGACAGTTGTCGAGGTCTATGTATAAAACACGTTGTGGTCCTTGTCCATGCTCATTTAACTATACTAGCGAGTAACTAAAAAAACCGACAAAAATGCATTCCAAAAATAGAAGTTTAATGTGGGAAATTACCAGTTTCTGTGTCAAATCAATGATAAGAAACTCACTTTCAGGTCGTCTCATGTGCCCACATGTTTATTTACACAATTAAAATTAGGTACATTAGCTTACCCACCATCAACCAGGTGTGGATTTAATATATTACATAAAAAGTTGGTTTATCTATAAATATACTATTTTATTTAAACGTTAATGGCAAGTGCATACTACAATACCCCCACTAAGATACTTACTTCTAACCTCAACAAATACATTTAAAACCTATTTCTGGTGAATGGAATTAGGCACGTTTGATGAGTCAAGTAAAAATACCATGCTGTTTAAAAAATAATTTTCTTAACTTTCGAATCCATTTATGCACATATTTTAATTATCAAATCGCGTGCAGTCGTATTTTTAGACGTATACCTGCACACATCTGCCATTACTTAAGGATTCAAACACTTGCGGGTTACTTTGCATTTGAACTTGTGCAAGTTTGCAAAAAAGCCTAGACTTGTTTAAATTGGTAGATTTGCTTAAAATTAGTCGAAGGATTTCCACTTAATTAAGAAACAATCACCCAATAAAAAGAAAAGTGGAAAGAGCGCATTTTTACAATTACCATAGTTGAGTAAGGTCGAGAACAAAGGCATACCTACTGTGTTGCACAATAACGTCGAGATATTTTGGAACGTGATTCTGAGATTACTTTGCCGGATAAACTCTTTAGGAGGGTATAACCAAGCCCTCAACTTTGAAGAGATTGCTTGAAGCATTGAAGCTCAAGTAGCCACTTGAAGAAGCTACTAATTGTGTCCCTGTCCATATTATCGTTAATTGGTTTATAGCTTTTTACCTACAAAATCGGAAATAAAAGCGCAAAAAACAGTTTTCCGGATCCCATAGTTTAAAGATTTTTATAAATTTTACCCAAACCATTTCATAGCTTCAAAGGGTTCCAGTTCTTGCGCTTACATTTTCGCGCTTGGGACATTTTGTCGATTTATGTGTTTTATGAAAAGTAGTAGAACCTAAATTCAGAAAACAATCCTGCTATTATGTCTAATTTGCATTTGCATTATTAACAATATACATACATACTGTAAGGTAAAAATTTCGCAAAACAATATATACCTAATTGCTTACCAGCTTTCAAAACGTTTCCGAAGTATTTAGGTATCATATACTTTATACAACTTCTGTGAAGAGGAAATTAAATATATGACGCCAGTTTAGCTTTACTTTTAGATAAGGCTGGTGTAAATTGTAATTTTACCGATTATCATGTTGATACTTTGTAATCTTATAATAGTATGCAGGTTATTTTTTTTACTCTTTCAAGGACTATATTTAATCAGCCAATTCGACTAATTAGCATTCTCGCTCTAAAATCGCATGTGCATCAATCCTGTATTATAAGTGGCCTGGTAAATGGCTAAATTATCATATCACATTTCGCATAAGGAGTTAATGTCTTAATTATAACCACTGACCCGAGTATCGAACACATTTCAATAACGTATAAGGTTTCTATTAAGTACTTTAGTTGATCAAATTACTGCATTTTAGCTGCGCTTCTACACTTTATACCTATCCAGAGGCTGAAACATTATTAGCTTTCACATAATGTTCCGAATGGTATACAAAATCTTGGCACCGTTTAAAGTTTTTTTCCAGCAATCAGGGGCATTCGAGCGGGCCACAATCCCTCAATAAAAATGTCTTGTAACAATCTTAGTTACGTGAAGTTTTACCTGTTTGTAACTGTAACTAAGATCGTTGTGAGGGCCTTTTCTCAAAAAGGATTCACATGCCTCTAGATTTCTATGATAATATATTTCATTCATAGCTCGTTGTTTCACGGAAGTTTTCTGAGAGTGAGCAGAACTTTCCTTTTGCCCCGGCTTGCTCAAAGGTTGAATCATTAGTTTAATTGTCTAGCCACATCTATTTCTTGATACATGATTTAAGAGAATATAAAATAAAACGTAAGCAAACGTGTTGTTGCATCTCCTAAAATGAACTCCTTTGGACAAAACGTGTTTTTGACTAACTGACAATATACCGGGAAATCAGTCCACAAATGTGCATCTTTTATTCTTCTTTGCAATGATCTATTGAGCTTTCATATCACATGCCATAAGTTCGCAAGTTGTTTAAAAATATCTATATAGTGGTCCTTCTTCTACGCAGGGATTCGGAAATAATGTCGAGCTATTTCGGAGGGTGATTCTAGAGAATAAAATAATAAAATAAGCTTTTATAAACCTGCCCAAAAAATTGCTTCTTAAAAGAACTGGAGCCCCTTAAAGGGAGATCCCTGGAAGAGGTTATTCGCTATATTTTCTAAACTGAGCGAAAAAATTTTGAAATTTGGTTTTATGGGTAAGTGGAAATGGGGAAACTGTTCGCGTTAATAATTACAGATTTGATGTGATATGTAGGAAGTGTCGTACAAAATACTGTCTTAATTTTTTTTGTTTGCTATATTTTCTATTCCCATTTAAAGAATATCGGAATATATTAGGAAAGATAATAAAAAAGTTCTTTTCAGTCTTTCAGTGCCTGTAACAAGGAATTGTTAGCGATTGTGAAGCTTTTTGTACGATTTGAATCCTTAGAAACATAAAAAAACATCCTGCCATTTGCACGATTATTACCACCACAATATGCATGTTAATCTAAATACAAAATTTTCAGACTGGAAAACGAATGGTTCACACTTTGAATGACCTTTTGTGTTCATATAAATGTACGTTCTGTGAATTAAATGGCGTGAATGGCATGAAACGTAGTGTAGAAATTTTGGAATTGGCTTTGTATCTCTTCAAGTATGTCCTTAAAAGTAAATTGATTTTTATGGTTGAATGAGTTTGGAGAATTTTATCGGACAGTGCAGGCTGCGTATGTTGGATATCCCAGGTGCCCGTCGAGAAACCCATTTGAATTCTGTTTATTCCAATAACTTGTTCAAATTATATTTTTCATATGCTGATGTCGTGGAAAGCGTTTGAGATGTTTTCAACTGAAATGTTCCCCCTTACTTTCAGCGCCTACTTTATTATTGTTTTAATGCGGACCACATATTAGGTCTGGGTTATTGCAAGCGTCTGTATAAATTAAGATACGAACTTACTGCTGGTCGGGTATTGTTATAAACAAACCGGGTATTATGGGCATGTGTTTGACTTGCACATAATATATTTGCAGTGATATCAATCGTATTCTTAAAGCATCGCAAGTAGCAATTGTGTGTTCGTGAAAGTTCCCAGTGCTCTTAATAAGAGACGTATGTATTTTTACTTTTACTTAATAATCAATACGTTTTCTAACTTTAAATTATAATTGGGAAATCTTTAATAGATCTGTAGTTTGAGAACCAATCGGTTAAGCTTCATTTCATCAAGGTTAATTTTGTGTCTTATCTTATATCAATTTGCACAAGTACCATGATATGTTAATGGAAGCAATTGAATATTGCGCCCGTCGGTATTAGGGAATTTATCATACTAGGTACTTGTTATCTTCAAACTACTATTTTATTCTAGCTTTTGCAAAGGGAACCCAACTCTTTAAGCCTTGAGTTTTAAGTTTGACCTCAGTTCTTGATATTGATCCACAACATGGTTTCTATTACTATTCTTGGGCTGGAACCTTCGACTTAACAAAATAAAATAACTAAGTTGTCTGGTTTTTTAAAGAAGAATGAACTATATAAAAATAGAAAGGATATTAAACTGAGTTTTAATGTTCCTCCGAAAAAGCTACCGAAACGGCTGAGTAGTGAAACTTTATTCATGTCATTTTAATATGGTTTCTATTGTTGCTCAAATAGAGCAGACATTTTTTATCAATTACATACTCGGTCTAAATCAGAGTAATTTGGTTGTTTTCGTATGGTGTGTAATAAATTTAAATTTTCATGTTAAACAATTTTTAGTAGCACTAAAAATGCTTCACTCAGAAACGTATTATTTTTATGTCGACATACATTTTCATTTATACTTTGAACAATGTCATGCTGGCTTATAAATTAGCACGTATCATTAGTTGATATTGATAGAAAATATGAACTGATAACAAACACATGGAGGAAATACGGAAAATGCATAACTCAATTTTTTCCCCAATCAATCATAAATTACTCAATCGTAACTTGGTTGTATGTTATTATCTCGACTTGCACAAGGACCTGCAAATCAACATTTGAATTTTGACGCTTTCGCATTCTTTCTAAAATGTGAGCTTATTTTTTTCGTGATAAGGGAGCCTATGATTTTGTTATTTATTGTTTTGTTTGTCACCAGAAGTCATGTGAATGTGGCAAATGTTTTCATTTTCTGGATTCAAAGCACTGCCATTGATTGAATAAACTTTTTTGTGTTATTGGCTGAACCGAAATAGACTAAAGTTTGGCAACAACATCGCAGTTTAGTGTGTGCGGCTCGCAAAAAGAATCCACGTGATTATTACATTTTTGTTCGCAGTATTTGGGATTTGGCGCAATTTTGTTTTTAGGATGGGTCGTAAACAACAGCGACTAAAGTCTAAAAACTATGAATATACTCATTATCCGTGTAATGTTGTTTACCAGCTTGGTTTTTACTAATTGCACTTAGACCCGGAATCCTCATCTCCGAGGAATTTAATACGGCAAACAAGTATAATAATAATGAATCATGATTCAGTTGAGGAACAGTAATGATCTGTTAGGTTTGGGGATTAATTTTCATTTTTTTCAGATTTGCTGCTTACGATTTTATGATTTACAATATCGGGTAAACGTAAATTGATTCAACAGCAGAGCAACTACGTTATGCATATATTCTAGTTTTCTCGCAATGTTGTTTATTTGTTACAGCAGTCTGATTTTTCTTAATTAGGTACACATTATCTTCGGTTAAACTTCCAGTAGCTAATTATTGAATTTACAATTTCAATTTCGGTTCTTGGATATTGGTTCTTAATTCTTAATAGTTTGCCACTGTTACAGCATGTAAAGAGATTGCAGAAGAAAAGTTGTCTCCTTCGTATAATGAAAGTGACCTGGGTTCAGGTTATTAATAGGATAAGTCTAATTTTCGCATTAAATTTGCATAATACTAATAAGTTTTGAATCCAAGCTCTCATTAATATGGAACATCCAAGGGAAATTGTTTCGCAAGCAATATTATTAATTTGTGACAAGTACATAGATACTCCTGTGTATTGATTAGAATTTCTATCCTCATTTTCTATGCCCGTGTCAATGTTACTTTCAAAAATTTAGTGAATGAGCTAAAAGCTTTAGAAATTATCCAGATGTGCATGCAGCGTATTCAAATGCTACCCTAGAAATTACATTAGTCTCACTTTTCCAAGTGTTATACACTTGGTTTAAGGCATATATCTTGGCTGTGGAAAAAATCACGTACACATTTTATAATTTTCTGGCAAATGAATATGTGGGTTCCTCTTATATTAATAAATACATATACATATCAGTTATTTTGATACTAATTTGAAATCCGTAAGCTTATTGTTCACACTAAGATTTTCTTCTGTGAGCTTTATTAGTTACTTTATTTTAACAGCGGCCCAAAATTGCTTTTGCTCAATCAATGCTAATTTTTCATTTTAAATGTTTGTTAGAAAAGCTCGAATTCTTTATCTTGAGCAGATTATGCTAGTACACAACCATTTAATTGAATGCTTGCTTACTAATCTCGTTGCAGATTGAAAACTGATATACAAAGTAATAAAGAATTTAGTGGTTAATAAAAGCAAAGTACCATATATATATTGTATTTTGGTATACGAACATTTGTTTGGATTACGTATTATTGACGTCAATTGTTATTCGACGCACTCATTATCATTACTTAAAAATCCGCTGTTACTGTTAGCAGTAACTATGATGCCGATCTGATTGATTTCAAGGTTTTCCGTGATACTGGCTAGTTACTTATTGAATGAACTGAAAGTCATGGGTTTTGATTTCAATAGTGAACATTTTTCAACAATTCCAGTTTCAAAAATAAAAAAAAAAGACGCTGTTAAGATGATGATTTAGACCGTGTTTAACGCCCATATCTAATAACTGCTCAACTAAGCTAATGCCAAAATACATTTGAGTTAAGTGAAATATCCGTTTTTCTGGATAGGTGAGCGATTATTACACAATATTTAGTGGATTTGGATTCAATATATCCGCAAATTAAACAGTAGTTGCTGAATAAATACTGCTGAAATCCAAAAAGTTAAGTACCTAGAAATTGCAATATTTACTTGAAATTGGACATGCATGTTTCTAATTAATAAAATAAGTAGCTGGGTGAAGTAAACGATGAAGCATGAACTGATCAAATTTCTTTACCAGATCTCTTACTTTGTTTCGATTTGAAGACATTTAACTGAGTTGGAAAAACATAAATTTTAATCAGAAGCTAATATTGAATAGATAATTAATAATCACTTCATTAAACCGCTTGTAATTGGCCGGGCTTTGGTGAATCCCTAAAATAAATGGATTTGCAAATCGCAAATGGCTTGCACGTGGTAACGTGCACGCGGTTCATAATGCTGTTGTTTTCATAATTTTTTCAGCATATAATCAGTAAAACAAAACAGTAATTTCAGCAGTAATTTTATTATTGTATGATAAGTAGCCAGTTTATGGCTACAGTTGTTTTCTTTATTTTTAAAGCACAGACATCTTGTTTTGGTATTTGGTCTTGTAGGTATATAAATAACGAACAGCAGTCACTATTAAACGTAGTAAGATACGAAAATATGTTAAATGTGGGAAAGTCAAACAAAATGGTGTTTTAAAAATGTTAATTTCTATTACTTCCAGAAACATTTGCTCAAACGATTATTATTTTTTATAATGTTAATGAAATATTATTAAAACACCGTTTAATACTCTATAAAGCTGTACTATCAAATGTGGAGTTAAATGTTTTATTTTCGGCCCAAGTCCTAGTGGATATTTTTTTCAAATAAAACAAAATATGATATTGTGAAGAAACGATCGACCAATATTTGAAGGTAAAAAATTACTATGGTTCGTAGAATTAATGAACAAGTGTCCACGATACATGTCCGTATTTAAAACAACGCAATTGATAGTGGAGCGAAAACGAAATAATTTTAACAAATTTCTGGAAGTAGTCGGAACTTTTGAATCACCACCAGCTTAATTTAAGCGACTTCGTATCTCTAACGGTTTATACGAGCTCCCAATGGTACCACCTCGAATTTGTAACGCCCTGTATAAATGGCAACAGTAACTGAGTAACCTCGTATAGCTTGCAGAACCGTTTGCTACTTGAAAGGTCATTTATAAAATCTGTTTTACCCTGACTGGTTGGGTAAATTTTAAATATGTTTTATTGCAATACTATGCCGAAATTCCGTTTAGTATTGCGGCTAAGAAAGCCGTTATTAAAATGCCGCCAGACAAAACAAAAGCTAAGTAAACTAAACATTGCGTCATATACCTATTACGTTTAAAAAGTTATCGATTATTTCCGTCTGATTTCAATTATTCTGGATAAGAGCATGCGATTTTTATCGGTGGAATTGTCGCTGTTATCGGCAATATTAAAATTTTAAAGAGGTATCTACATTTTTTTAATTCGGGTTTCAATGGCTTTGAGTTTGATGAGTAGAAAAGTATGACTAAAGTCTAAAAATATCTTAAATTAGATTATATTAGTGATGCGTAATACAGATTTTTAATTGAATTTAACGCTTTTTGCCCCCCGATAAATTATTATAATAGAATCAACCACATTCATGATAATGACATGCTATGTAAATTATGACTGGATACAACTGTGCTAACACATTCAATTATTGTTGATTAATTTCATCTAAAACACATTATGTAATTGATGCATGGTTTCAACCATCCAACTCACGCACATGTCCAACAATGACATGTATCTTTAATATCATCCCTAGCCTTTATTGCTAATTAATTTAATAGCTGCTATTCATCATATGAATCAATAGTTTCATCTATGTGACCTTAAAAAAATGCCAAATTTAAGGTGTTTTATTAACAACATTTTTCTGAACAATATTCAAGATCAATTTTCTTTTTCAGTATTTTGGTGAACCTGTTCTGGTATACATGGAGTTCCAGTTGGACAGTGCGGAATATTGTCAGGCTCAACACAAATAAATTACTTACAAAGAGGCAAAAACTAATTCCTGAACTTAGTCATTTTGCAAAGTTGCCATAGTTTTTTGGATTTACCTCAGAAAACCAAATAAGCTGTGTGTCTAAAGAAAATAATTTTTCTCTTACCGCTATTTCTACGAATGATGAGCTTTTCCTAGTTGTTGAGTTCTTTTTTACATTGCTGAAGCATATCAACTAGTGTAAATACCTACCTAAACAAGTTTCGTAATCCTTATCCTATTAAATTGATTTCGAGAGACTGATATTTTCTAATCGACGGAATCTTCGAAACTAAGCCAATAATAATAGTAATAATAAATCAATAATCAGTGCCGAATTTTATCATTAAACAAAAAGGAATGACCACCGGCATCATGAGGCAAAAGGACATTCGACCTGCTCCAGCAGAAATTGAATACAAAAATTTCAAATTTTTGATTACCGATAGACCTTCAGACCAAAACATACTACTTTATATTCAGGTAAGTGAACGCCGAATACCTTAAGCAAACTTATGGCAACGTTTGGTCACTGTTTTTTGAAACCTTCATTGTGTGTCTCGCAAAGATGGTAAAGTTGCGTGCAAGTTTCACTAAGCAGATATTTAACTACCCCACGTTTCAAGGATTATAGTAATGAAAACATAAATGAACTAGCAAATTAATATTTCGTGGCTTTAATTGCTTTAGTAAATTACTTGAAAGATAGGAAGCGACCGATTTTATTCAGAACGTCTTGGCCTTTACCCTTTGTTGAACCCCGATCAATGTTACTTTTTTGTTCTTCACGGGTACCTTAATCACATTGTGTTTGAAATGGGTTGTATAATTTAATTTGCAACCGATTTGACGTGTTTGGGAACAAAGAAACTGAAAGATACAAACATTCTGAATCCCAAAGAGTTGAGTACATACTACCAGATTTATTGGTTTTGTGAAATTTGTACTTTGGGAAAGTAAACGCATTTTATTTATATTTGCAAAAATGTTTTTTTGTAAAATTCATATTTAAGAATGCGACATTTTATATGCCTACTCAATAATCACACGGTTTTTTTATTATTTATTACATTGTACGTTTGTAGTTACTTTTTATTATTCTACCCAACCCTGTTCTAACAGTGACATGCATTTTCATTGCTTAATCCAGAGGTCTCCAAACTACGTCTCGCGATAGCACACCCCTTTAATTTAGTTTGTTAAATTAAATCAAACGTTCCCTAATAATAATTAGATAATACTATGGGAATTTATTAACTGACGAAAATGAAAAAATGAACATAATTCCGCAAGAATAAAATCCAAAATCCTACACATACGAGCAAGATAAAGGATATCAAAGAAAAACTACAACCCTGGTTGCCATCTACATTTCTTTCTACAAAATAAACTGCTGTCCGGATCCAGACCTCTGAAATTTCCTAAATCCTTCATTTTTACTAAAAAAATTCAACGCCATTTAGTGGCTTAAATTTAGAACCGCATCAAGTCTGATTATAATCTTGATCTGGACCACTTACAGCCTGAAGGGCGCTGGACAACAAAAAACTGTAATAGTCTGACGGATCCTGGCCGCTGAAATTCTCTAGCACGAATCGTTTGATGAAAATAATTTGTTTAGTGTGTTAAATTTGGAAAAACAGTGCGAAATCTAAATTGGAAAGTCAGGACCACTTGCAGTCTCTTAAAGCGCTTTTCGGTAGACCATCATAAAGTAATAACAGAAGAAAAACACGGTTAATTGATACTTTGCTTCGAAGATAATTACACTTGTGTTCGCGAACGAAACAAAGTAAAATTTGTAAATCTGAGCCATACCTATTGAGAATACAAGAACTGTATGGTAGAATATAATTGATAGCAGAAAACCATCAAAAAATTATACACAGTGTAAAAGACAATACAGAACTTCGTCGTTCCTCGTCGAATAAATGTGCCATGCAACAACATCATAAAATACTAATCAACAGTAAGAGACTAAAAGCTCTACAGCTACATGGCAACCACGGGCAAGCAAAACTTACCGAAAGCTGCCTCGTGCCAGCTGGAAAGAAATAAGAAAATGTGTTTAGTAGAGCAGCAAATCTGTCCAAAGCCATGTTATTAAAAATAAGAAATGTAAAGAATGAACTTCAGTTGATTTCCGAAAAACAAAAATCAGTTCCAACTAAAGGATTTGTAGATTAGAGATAATTCTTACCAGCTTTCTGCAAGCTGGCGCCCCATCCTCGATTTTCCACCAATTATTCCTCAAAAAGATCACACAATGAAAATGCATTCCGAATTGGAAACATTAATCCTGCACATGCAAGAATAAACCACCGCACTTACCATAAAGGCCACAATGATTCAATTTTTTTTTCATCTAAGTACGCGATTCACACGACACAAAGGACCTATATCGTACATTGCCTGTAACAAACTGAATATTCAGACACTGTCCAAAAAACTCATGCGAGCTCGAAGGCATCGAACAGAACCAACATGATTAGATAATCATTTGCTGGGTCACCCTTTGGATGACTCGTTGCTTTGCTTGGCAGTTCAATTTCAATTTTTTTATTTATTGACTATTTTGTACTAAGTGCCTGTTCGTTCGCATGGCAATATTTTCAAAAACACTTCAGGTTTCAACTCGTTTGGATGCTGCAAATTTTGAGTCATTTGAGGTTGATATTTTGTGCAAATCCTAGCTAAATGGCAGGCCTTGTGAGCTACGGAATACGTAACTTGATTTTTACGAAATTTTTCCGATGAGTCTTCGGCTCGATTTTTTCCGAAAATTGTAACTTTTGAAGCCTGATATGTTGGGTAGTCTATAGGAATATTTCACTTGGTTTTGACAAGTTTTCCCATTTGCTCGATTTTTTAGAGCTAATTCAGCTTGATGTTTTTGCAAAAGCCTGACTAAATGGCAGACCCACATTTAAGCCATGCCATTATTTATTAATGTTTCTTTGGTCCCATCACCAAGAGCGATGGAATACGTTACTTGCGTTTGACAACATTTTTTCGATTAGTCTTTCGCGCTCGCTTTTCATGAAAATTCAAGCTTTTAATGCTGGATATGTTGTAAAATCTACTTAAATGACAGATTCAAATTTTCAGTACAATTCACAAATTTAACCTATACCATGTGGAACAACCTAAAATTATCAACTTGCTTACTTTCCGATATAACCGCAAGTTATATTAAGTGCGGATCTTGCAAACGTTTTAGATCGCCTGCTCGCAGTGATTTTACTACCCCGTCCAAATTAAAAAAAAATACTCATTGAAGAGTGATGCAAGAAGGGGAAATGTGCGATTTTTTTGTTAATTTTCTGCCTATAGGTAACAGAATATGTTCTTTGACTATGGCGCAAAACTAGTACTCGTGCGATGAATAGCTATCAAATTATAAGCGAAAAAGTAAGCCTTGGGTAACATTAAAATTAATTAAAAAAATTGCCTCCTGTAAAAGCTAATAAATGTTATTATCCCTTTCTTGCATCAGGGTCTTCAATTGTACATAGTTTGCCGTTGCCATCTATAGATCGAACCGTTCCCCCGTGTACACACACCCTGTATATCTACTTTAATAATTTTCGTTTGGTGACGCTTGGTTCAATTAGTTGCCCTTTATTTCGCGGAATCGAGGTTAGTAGGTCTGGGAAAGAAAGATACCTACGGTATTATAACGTTGCTATAGGTAAACTTTATTGCTAGTCGCAAAATAAGGCAGACAACATGTAATTTAAAATCCAAAGTAGGCCATTGCACGATATGCTTCCCAAAATAGGAAGCTTAATGGCTCTGTTCGATGCTAAAAAATTGCTGATGCATGTCACATCGTCGAAGTAATGCTTTCGGATATTGATAAGGTTAATAGCCAAAAATGTTGGTACAATGCAATTACCAAACGCTCATATTAATTAAAGGGCCTTGATTTGTAGAAACAATTTTCATTCAATTTTGATCTTAATATAAAGCAAATTGCTTTACAAATCGAATTGTTTTATTGTTTATTTCAACATTTCAATATTCATTTTATTGTTTATTTCAACATTGAACAAAATCAATTGACCACAAATTGGGGCAACAATTGTTCAAATCGAATGTGATTTTGACGTAAAATGTGCATGTTAGTTACATATTATTAGGAGGCCACAAATGGCATGCATCATCATTTCATTACGTAAGTCAAATGACTCAGAGCGTCAAGGTTTAATTTTTTTACTGACTTGGGAATAACCCCTATTTGTCCGACCGAAAATTAGTTTAGATAATATTACAACGCAGTTGTTTATTGCTTTTTCAGCCAAGTGGCAACACGGTAATACTTAACGCTAATTACCACAGATTGTGATATACTTAAATGTAGTTTTTTTGTGTTCTATCTAATGCGAATTTTGGATGACTAATTCGTTGTGAAATCGTCGCTCATAGTAATTGCCGTTTCCTGTTGCAGTGGATTTTTTTATGGTTTAAATTAAATTTTCTGACCGTATGATGTGAGCTTTTGAAAAAGGAAGACTACCGTTGTACGAATATTCGTTCATTCAAATACTTGGTGATCATCATTCACGATTTTATCAGTCAAAACGAAAATTCCTTGAAAACCAAATCCATAACTATGCCCCAAAAGATCTTTCTAAGTCTACCAACATATTTTTGAACTTTTTGAACTGAAGACCACCGTGTTTCTCAGTTGACATCAATTTAGGAAGGGCATGTATTGTGCTTCCGGGACAAGCCACTGTTACGTGTTTGAATGGTGAAACTTTACCTGTTCACGTGTTGTTAGTATAAAGAAAAAGATCGTTCGTTAGTCTGGAGGAAGTTTTTTACTTGTAATTCGTTTCTTCTTTGTACTGTCGATTTTAGTTTCATTTATGTTGTCTTATATCTTCATATAGTATTATTCTGTGAATATTCTTTTTTCGATTCTTTGAAGTTGCTGGAATGAATATGGTCGTAAGCAAGTTGAAAATCGTCGATTCATTGTGGTGCTCTCGACCTTTTGATCTCTTAAAATTATCTTTGCCGTTGACGCGACGTCGTTTTACGTATTCGTTTCTAATATCAGCGAGCATTTAGCATTACTACGTTTTGCACTTGGCGCAACCATCCATCAATGCCAGACATGTTTTTCTCAAAACTCTTTTATTTCATCAGAAATAAAAGTTCTAGGGCGTAAATAAATATCCCATTTAAATAGCTTATTAAATCTTAACAAAAATTATTCACACAGTTCTAATAATAATAGAAGACTAGAACGATTGTCCTCAGATGTATTTTCTTTATTCAGCGACTCACTTTGAAATGGCACTGTGCCAACGGTTAATACAACTTAATTTTGGACGAAATTACATTCCTTTCAACTATATTTTTAAAAATAATTTTTGAGGCTACTGAGTACTGTCTGCTAATACCTTTTTTGCGAGTAAAAGCTCATGAAGATTGAAAATTTATAAATTTTAATACTGTATTATTTAATTTGAATGCTTTCTTTGATAGGAACTGCAAAAACATAGAGTAACAGCAGTTGTGCGGGTCTGCGAGCCATCCTACAAGATCGATGAGCTGCAGAATGTCAATATCGAAGTCTTTGATTTGATGTATGATGACGGCACCTTTCCACCAAATGACATAGTGGAAGAGTGGTTTAAAGTTTTGAAAAATCAGTTCAATGAGCACCCAGATGGTTGTGTTGCTGTTCATTGCGTCGCTGGATTAGGACGTGCACCTGTGATGGTTGCACTAGCGCTTATTGAGTTAGGTCTCAAGTATGAAGAGGCTGTGGAACGTATTAGAGAGTAAGTCTCCAGGGCAAGATAATCAATTTCTTCGAAAATTCGTGTACGAATGATGGGTTTACTTTCAAGCGGAGTTTGTGCGACTATTATTTTAGCATTTTTTTAACAGCTTATCGCCTCGCTTCCAATTTAGTGTATGCATGTGTGTGACGGGATAATCAAAACAGCACAAAAATTCACTTCAAATAATGTCAAGGGTATTTAACTAAATGAAGTCAGGTCTATTTACAGCGGCTGATGCGAAATGAAAATTCGAATTACTTATGGTTTTTTAATGTGTTTTAAAATGTGCTCGCGTCTTAAACAGCCTTAATTTGGGAATGTCAAACCTCCGAAGTGAAGCTGATATTATTTGTCTGGGTAAATGTAAATGAAGAAAGTAATTGTATGTATAGTGGATTTTTAATGTAAAGGAACACAGAAGAGTCGCTTTGTTTAAAGATTTCACTGGTTTTCTAGTCAAGAAATTGATTATAAAAATACGTCCGCTACACATTGTGCAATTGGTTGATTCAGCCTCGAACTCAACTCGAAATGCACGTACCCAATACAAGGTGGCCCCTAATATCAATTTAAGTAGTTAACTTTGAAAGGCACATTTTTCGGCTTCAAAAACAAAGCAAATTGACTCATTTATTTCTACTTATTAACTGATCATTTGCATCATGGCATAAATAAAATGCAAATAAATCAGGTCTAGATTATCAGAGGTTTTTGTTGAAATAAAAAACGCGAAGACAAAACAACGAAATTATTTTAATTAGAAAGTGGAAAGGAAGGATACAGATTTGGCTAATATTTTCGATGTTTTTTTCAGAAAGCGGCGAGGTGCAATAAATGCGAAGCAATTGGCGTTCCTGGAAAAGTACCGTCCGAAGTCTCGTCTAAAAGCCAAAAACGGACGGCAAAATTCGTGCTGCATGCAGTAAAAGAATTTTCACCGAAAATTCATTAACTTAATATGTGTTCATCTCTTAAATATACAGGACATTAATAGTAAAGTCTTAAAAATATGTGTGGATATACGTAAAATGAACAAAAAAAATTGCTTCCTTTCATTTCGTTAGAAAAATCAAAAAATAATTTTGAATTGATGTGGAACATGTCTTAGAATTATTGATAAACATATGACTTTAGGATAAATATATATACTTGTTGATTGGTTTCGGCTACAGGTAGTTTGTCTGGTAGAGTAATGAACGTGCGTAATTCTCAGAATAAAATTAAGTTTCCTTTTTATTTAGATTTTAATTTAAAATTTACTTGCACTTTGTATTCCTGATAATTTACTTGTGTTTTTATTTTGAGAATGTTATTTATTCAGGATATTCTAGTAAATTTATTGATAGTATTGTGACGAGTATATGCTAGTTCTTTCATTTTTAGGAATCTGCTTGAAATTCATTTGTGTTTGTAGTAATTTTCAACTTTAGCTATTTAGGCTTATATGACGGCAATCAATGACATTGAAACAATGTACTAAGTTAGTTTCTGTATCACGGTGTAAGTGCTATTATTTGTTACCGTAATACATAAGATTTTAAATGTATATTAACTTATATTTATTTGAAGTCTTTTTATTAATCAATCATCACGTTAGCTTTCAAGATTTTTATTGTAAACCCCAAAAATATATTTTAATATTATGGGTAGTTGTGTGTAGTTTTATTTCTAAAATTAAATACCTCTGCTGATTTTGGGCTAATTTCATTGAATAAGAAAAGATCACAATGGAAATGCGGAAAACCTACTCCGAGGTACTGTTCCCTAAATTTGCAAGGGCTTAGTTCAACAATCCCGAAATCTACTGATCATCAATCTACAATTCAAAAACTTCAGGTTTTTATTGTATGAACGAACAGGGTGATAAAAAACATTTAGGTCGACTAAACTTGCGAGTCTAACTTGCTGGCAACGGCTTCTTTAAATATGTGAGAGCGCCTTACCCCGTCTAGGTTGGAGTCATTCACCTTCCGAAGAATGGGCTAAAGGAAAAGTACCAATTAAACGAGTTGTGTCTGAATTTAAAGGGCGACCGATCATGTTTGAATTATTTATCGTTAATGGAGAGCTCTAGACAGAATTTTACTTGATGCCTGAAATAATGTTTACATTTTTAATAAATCCAGAAAAATATATACACATTTACTATCAATGTTGAAGAATTGGTATAAACTGGCGGAAAAAATGGGAAAGTGCTAAATAAATAAAAATGAAAAAAAAAACAAAGTCATTATAAGGTGAGTTTATAACAGCAAAACGATGCAAGCAAGCCTTTATTTTTTGTACTAAAACAATACAGCTTTTAGTCTCAATTAAAACTGACCTAATTAAACTATTTAATTATAAAATTACTAAAAATGCTGATCGCTGCGAATGAAAAGTAGGATAATCATTCAAGTTTTTTACTAATTGAGTAAAAAAAAGTATTCATGAAATACCCAGGGGTTGGAAGACGACATATTGCAAATTGTGCCGTTCCCACAGTCACAACTTGGGTGGTACCAAATTCCGTTGATCTATTGCTAAAATCGGCCTACAAAGTTCATTACGCAAATTTTTTCGGCTACTATTTGCAGCATTTTTCAGTATTAATTAAGTTTTAATTGATGATTTGAATAATCTAGAAAGAGACGTGCAAACACGACGAACTGATTGGAAAAAGGATGTGAAACCTACACGCCGATGGATGCTGGCAGACAAGTAATCCCCGGGAGTTATTTATTTCGAGGCTTTAATCATTTAGTCCAAGTTTTAATTCTTTGGAATGAATTCGAGCAGTTGGAAATAGTATATCTATATTACGTGATATTCAGAATTAGAATTTAGATGCAACGTTTTAGTTGCAGAAAATGAAAATATTTATTGCAAATATTATAAATTCAGATACTTTTATTTAACTAGGCATTAAATGTTACGGCTTGTTACTGACGATTTAAAAAAATTGGTTTCATATTGTGATTATTATTATGTATAACAATATTTCTTACTCTCAATTTGAACTCATCTTCTCCGCAAGTTTTTTAAAATAAAATGAAACTATTTTAAGGGTTTTGAGTTGGTGTTTTTCTCGATTATCTACCTATATTTAACATCTATCACTATGCTCATGTTTAAATGTTTAAACATCTAAAATGAGTTTGTGATGTAAAGTGATCAGAGGGCTTAAAACTTAGTTTTATAAAAGATAACTGAATTAATTACAGGATGATATAATTGTAACGTAAAGGCAATTATAGGTAATAACAACATAATAAGTTGTAATGATTTTATAATTGCAAAAGCAGGTAAATTACACAAGAACTGAAAAAATACAGTCTTTCATGGTAGTATACGGGATGTTAAGGCAATTTATTTCTAAAGCTGCTGTTGAATGAGAGATAAGTTTGCCAAACAGTGATCGTCACTATGTTATACAAGCTACAATTTTAGTATAAATTTGACTTAAATGAATTTTGAAATGGAAATTTGAATAAATGCGAATTTATAATTTAGATAAATACTCATCAATCTCAGGCAAATGTGCCAACCCAATTGACTTTTTGTTGTTTTAAATTAAAATTTTACTGACCCATCGACAGGAAAAATGGAGAAAAACAACTTTCTCTAAGCGAAATTTAAGATATTAACTATTATGTTGGAGAATCTATTGTTAGCCTTAAAAACGACTATTAACTAATTATTATACTTTTACATAAGTACCATTTCCTATCCAATCGACAAAATTACTATTAAATTTGCAGATCTAAGTTGTTGAAACGATTAATTTGCAAAATAATTGTTTCACCTAATTGAGTGTCGTTTTAATTAATTTTATACGAAAATAACGATTTCAAATTATAGGCTGCCCACTATACTCATGAATCCTTTATAACTAAAATTTATTTAAAATATATACCTGAAAATTAAATAAATTTAACTAATTTATGAAACCTCCACTAAATCAAAAATAGATTAATCTGTATTAGTATTGCGAAGGAAAGACTAATACTTAAAATAAAAAAAAAATCAACTGCCTAAATTAAGTAATTCCATATTGTTCTTTGAAGAACCACCTCAGTGCAAATGAAATGGGAGTCTGGTTACCAAATGTTGATCCTTCCGGGGAAAAGGTCAGAATGTATAATAAAATATGACTTGAAGCAAACGAAACTTTACATTGAACAGCCAATACTTTGAGCTTACGTTGCTCTAGAACTTTAAGTATCATTAGCATCATTACTAAAAGAGATAAATATTTTGAAATCTAGTCATATACCAACGGACTATGGAGCTTCCAATTCTGGCGACTAAGTAAAGTGTTGAAGAAAACGAAAGCGCTTGTACGACTTGTATGGACTATGGCTTTCAGTGTTCAGTGTGTGGTGGTGTTAACGTATCATGCCGAATTTAACATGGGCGCTGTTATATGCAGTGATCATAACTTCAGTGACACATGTTCGGTTGGATGAAGTAAAAGATAGTGAAACTGTCGCCGCCTTATACGAAGAAGGGACACAAGCTTACCTGGAAGAAAGATTTCCAGTATGCGTAGAAAAATTGGAACAAGCCCTGGAAAAATACCGGTGGCAAAGAAGGAACACTCAGAATTGTAGATTAAAGTGCAAACAGGAGAGCGAGGCCTCAGATACACTGTTTCCGGTCGATATTGAAAACTTGCGGTTTTTTGAAAAAAATATCAAAAACACCCTTTGCCTTATTAACTGCAAAATAGATAGCAATGGAAATAATGATAATGTCGATGATGAAATCCAGAAACTGTTTGAGGAAAGAAAACCGTATGAATATCTGCACTTATGTTACTTTAAGGTAAAGTAAATCACCAACAAATTTAAATACTTACTCACAGCCTGATGTAACCGAAACTAATGTATTTTTAATATATTTTGAATATAAAACTGCACATATTCAAATTTGTAACCATTAATGACCACACAGACCACATGTTGCGTGTTTGATTAAATTAATAAGTATTACGCACTTCAATTTATACATTTAATTGTATATTGTATATAAACAGACATAATTTATTTTTTCAAAATTTGAAAAATCACAATTTCGCCAGAAACTGAAATTAGGGATTAAACATATTTTAAAACTTCTTTCTATCTAGTTCTGCATTTCATAAGCAACAACCTTTTAACGAAATGAAATTTCGTTTCCAGGCTTATAAATAAGAGATCAATAATTAATCACCCTGGCTTTTAAACTATGTAGTTATTAGGTATATAGTTAGAAAAAGTTGCTTGAATAGTCAACTATTAAAGACAAATGAGGGCAATTATCACTGTAAGGAAGAGTAAAGATTTCCGCATATAATTCCGGTAAAATACGTTGATCCAAGCAATCATTGATAAATATTCTTCGTCTTTAAACATCTGGAAAATTTATGGCACATGGATACCCACATAAAACTCCAGCTTTATAGATCCACTGTCATAAAACTATAACTAAATATATTTTAGGGACAAAAGAATAGCTTTCAGGCTGTATTTGATTTGAAGAGTGATGCAATCAAAATGGGTTTCGCTCCTTTTAAAATATCCAATTAAGTAATTAGATTTGGCTAGCACTGGTTGTACCAATATGGATGTTTTCCTAACATTTCTTCTCAAAATCATCAAACATATACAAATATATGGCTGATCATGGCTATTTTCCTGTTATTGCTTCTCGATTTTGAAAGAATGGCTGCCCACATATGAACATTTCAAAACGCATACCTAAAGAATGGTTGGTGGGCGGTCAATGGATTACGAAATAGATCAGTAAGTATCAGTCAACATTTAAACATGCTGCCGACAAAAACATAAATATCATATGCTATCTTAAATTGAAGCATTTCATCGTTAGTGAAATGATGGATAAAAATTTGAGATTCATTTTGTTGTTTTGAGGTGGAAATTAACTTCAACAACACCCCGTATAGTGCAGTACTAGTTTTTTCTAGAATGAACTACTCTGGCCGAGTGATTGCGAAATCCTACAAATAGGATGTTTTTAACACATCCATCCAATATTTACGTTATCATATCCAGATGCGGGCTTACTAATAATAGGCCGATGACCTAGTTTGCAAATTTATTTTCATACATTTTTCGCAATGAATTTAATAACTAAGTAGAATATAAAATTATGCTTTATTTATTGTAAACAAGGAAATGACTGATGTTTTAGCTTTCACAAACTACCTCAAAGTATTTGCTGATCATGCATATTGTTTCTCAATGGATAATTAAGTATGATTCGATAATTCATTGATCAGTAAATACTATACTATTTACAGAATATGATGTTTAAAGTTTACAAAACATTTTTTTAAACAAATATAGAATTTGAAGATTAGAGAACTATTAAGTTAAAAGTTAAAGTAGTTTAACGCTAATGCTTGAAACTCGATCGTTTGCAATGTTCCGGTGATCAAGAACAAGAAAGTTTGTATATTCGTTAAAAATAACATAAAGCCAAGTTATTTATAAAGTTATTGCCTGGTTATTCATTTGCATGGTTTGACCTCTTCATATAACATTCACTTTCAGATTATATGAAGTGATGATTATATGAAGTGATTATATTATATGATTATATATATTTACTGGATTTAACTATTGGTAGCTGCTTCAGGTACATTGTTAACGTATCAAATATCGGGTCACATAAAACTGTTGAAGCGAACAATTTTATTAAGTAGATACCTAAATTGTGTTTTCTTCCAGGTAAATGATGTGCAAAAAGCTGCATCTGCAGCATTCACCTATCTGGTTTTAAATCCAGACCATAAAGTGATGGCAAAAACCTTAAAACAATACTCTGAACTACCTGGAGTTGATTTAAAGGATGTCATCAATTTTGAAGCAAAGGTAATTGTTACTATTTCTTCATTTCCAAAACACTCAAAAATTTCAGTTTGGGTAAATTATAATTATTAAATAGCAATGAAAAAGGCTTAAAATGAACTAATGAATGAGTCAGTTGTTGGAGTTAACGAAAATATTTATAATTGCATTATAGTCTCTAGTATTAATAAATTATTGATTTCTCAGTGCTCTTTTCCTCCTCCTCTCAGTTTAATCCAAAAGCTCTGAACCTCTTATACGTATTAATTAGGCATGGGTAATTTAACTAAGTTAATTTTTGGGGAGTTAGCGCAGAGATGCCGAAAAGGCTTGTTGCGCCAACCCAACGCATCGGTATAGTAACTCACCGGTGCAGTTGCTTTGCAATCACCCATTTGGTAAAATGTTGCTCCTAAAAAATGAGGTGACGTTTTTTTTTGTTTGATTGATTCCTGCCTCGGGCCTCGTAAAGCTTTGGGTTAAATGCTAAGCGTAATTAAAAGTGCGGCACAGTGAGAAGCGATGAGTTATAACGAAAAACTCAGAAACGAAAAATACATTCGCATCGCATTTTTCGAATGTTGATGTGAAAACGTTTTTACGCTTACTCTTCATTAAAAAAATTCCAACTTCCAAATTAAAGCTGGTAGAAATTTGAAAGATTGACCTTAATGTAGGAGACGTTTTTTTTAATGAAGTTTTAGCGAAAACTTGCACCTAAATGTCTGATATTCAAATATTTGTGTGACTTGTGACAAACCTACCAGACATTACTCACGCGCGTTGTTATAACTGAATCGCCGCCCAAAATATTCCCAAAGTTTAAAAATTTCTCTGAAGGAATCAATAATTTAATGGGATCCAAATCCACACTATCAGTAAGCTGATGCTTTTTGAATGGAATACGGCAACCCAAATTTCCATATCTGAAGAGGTTCATTAGCGAAAAGCTTCACATGAGCTTGATATGAAAAATACAAAGCCGCCCAAAATATCCCCAAAGTTTAAAAATTAACTACAAAAGAACCAATAGCTTAATCAATACCAAATCCAGCCTACATGTGAGTTGATGAATATCGGACTAAAAACTACCCATATGTACATGTGAACTTACCGAAAGCCGCGTAGTGTCACCTGGAAAGAAAGAAGAAAATGTGTTTAGTACAGCAGGAAATCTGGGCAAAGAGAAACTTATTTAAAATCATGAAGAGAGAGAAATATAAAAAATCCGTAAAACGTCAGTTGCTTGTAGGAAAACTAAACTCAGTTCAAGATAAAAAATGTACAGACTACAGATCATTCTTACCCGCTTTTTGCAGGCTGTCGCCTCATCCTCCATTTTCTACCCATTAATCCTTAAGAAGTCCCTACACTCTTACAAACTCCCGTACTTGCCATAAGGGCCACAATGTTTCTATATTTCCCATCTAAGAATGCGATCACCGACCAATTTCGTCCACTGTCGGTAGCAAACTGAACATTGATACACTTTTTCGAGAAAAAAGACACCGAACTACAGAATAAACATGGTTATTTAATCATTTAATTGTTCGCCCTTTCGATGATTCATGCTTTATTTGGCAGTTCGATTTCAGTTTGTTTATTGTTGGCATTTTTGTATAAAGTGCCTGTTCGCACGATAATATTTCCAAAGGCAAATTTCACATTCCCACTTAAGGAAAGTCAACAACTAAACGGCAAACGCTCCAAGTGTCGATCTTTCACTAATTTAATTTTAAATTTAGAGCGATTTTGATTTGTCTGAATTTCACTCAGCTGCAGTGATTAACGTACAACGCCAAAACTAAAATTAATAACCGATTTAACAAAAAATCCGAAAATAAATCGCTTAAAAATGAGAGTGTTGCTGAATTTCCGAGCGATGATAGAAACCAATGAAATTTCAACTCATTAAAAATGTCCTTTAAAAATTCTGATCCGGTGCAGTGAGGCGCCATGCGTTATAACTGACCAACTCACAAAGCGGCATCAATTCAAAAGCGCAACTCAACACAGTGTTACCCAATCCTAGTTTAATAAAAGCTGTAAGATAACGATCCTTTGAAAAATCGCTTGATTGGCTTTTTTCAGGTATTCCTATTGCAAAATCCTTAAGTGAATGCATAAAACAGCGGATTTTTTTTGTGCGCAAAAATTGCTGGGTCAAAAAAATATTGGGCGGCAAAAAATATTCTTCTTCAATTTTTTATTCTAAGTACTTGGATTCAGGTACTATGTCCTAAACTTAAAAAATGAAAAATTATTTACCAAAAAGACAAGATCCCAGAAGAGTTTATTAATCGCCTTGGATATTGTGAAGCCGTAAATTTTGGCACACATTTTTAACATTTAATTTGTAATTTGATTGTCGTTCTGTTTGTTCGAAAATTGGTCCTTTTCAGAACTACAGAGATTTGAAAGAAATCCACGCTAATTAATGATACAATCGTAAATTTCTCTGTACCTGTTAAGTTTAAGTATAGCACCTATTACCTGAATCATACTTAGAATTCAATGGAGATTTGAAAAATTTAAATATAAAATAGGTGCTTCTATTTGAAAAAAATATGTAGATGATGGTAATTTATTTTTGAACCCCCTATATAAATAATTTTGATATAAAAAGATGCATTTGCAAATAAAAATTGACGGGTCTGAGTTTTTCGAATCAAATTTATTTATGACAGGAAAACCGTTTGAAATATTCTAATGAAATTCAATAGCATTTGAGAGCTAAGAAACGAGTAACTAACCCTTCGAGTTGCCTTAATAACCTTCGAGTTGCACAAAAATTACAATTATCAGAGACCTATAGAAATCGTTTTTTTCTTGCAGGATTTCGTTTATCTGTACGTATATGGGTCTGACGCTTACGAGAAGAAAGACTGGGATAATGCAATAAATAATATGGAAGAAAGTCTAGCGTCTTATTTGCACGAGGAGGAAGAGTGTAGAGCTCAATGCGAAGGTCCTTTTGATGCTGGCTGGTATCCAGACTTTGTTCCTGCAATTGCCAGTAAGCGATTTAATAAAATGAATTTTCATAGAGATGATTAATATAACAGTGCTCGCTTTCAGATCATTTTACCTACGTGCTAAAATGCAAGCAGGGTTGCAAAAAAAAGTTGGGATCTTTAAATGGAGAAATCCATGCCGATCTACTGGCGAGCCATTACAATTACTTGCAATATGCGTATTTTAAAAGTGAGTGCAATTGTTAAGTATTTGTTTAAACGGTTAATTATTTTTGTTGTTATCTATACGATTTTCAGAAAGGAATCTGTACGCAGCTTGCCAAGCAGTGGCGTCTTACCTCTTGTTTCTCCCTGATGATGAATCCATGCTAGCGAATATGGAATACTATCAGAAGCTTCCGAAAGTTCAAGACAGCTTCTTCACACCTAGAGAAGTAGTTTTAAATGCGCCTGGTTAAAAACTATAAAATATCTTCAATCTCTTGAAATTTCAGGAAGTAATCCGTTATGTTCAGCGTGATACGTACGAAGAAAGAATACTGCGATATATCAAAAATGAGTTTAAATTCAGCAAGACCTCAGCACAGATAGCGGAAGCCAAGGTAAATATTTAATTTTGTCATTAACTGGCGGGTGCAATTTTATCGTTAACATAATTTGGTTGGAGCATATATTTTACGGAAATGGCTTAATTCTTCCAAAATAACCTCTGTGGACCCCACATGAAAAAGCGGAATAAAATGCATGCGCCTGGCATTTATATATTAACATTTCCTTAACTTTTAGGAGGATTCTGCTTCTGATAACGAATCAACTGACAATGACATTGACGATATTGTATCTGATTGACTCTTGTATCTTTTGGGTCATTTACTTGTATATATTGATGTCCGGTTGCATTTTTTCTCTGCCTATTAACTTTTATACTCTTACGGTGTGCCATGTATTTTAAATTGTGTATTGTTTTAAATAAAACATTTTAAAGGAATTCGTTTATTTTATTCCTAGTTTTTTTTGCGACTGGTGAGGGTCTAGTTGAGAGCTTCCTATAATGAATTTCCTTGGGTGCATTAGCTGTTGCTCCGCCACGAACGTTTCAAATTAATTTTAATATCGCTATGATAATTGAAAAACTGGATTCTTGCCAGGCCAATTTATCTTGAAAATATTGAAGGATGCTCTATTTGTTAACAGCAAGGAAGGAGAAACTTCCGTTTCACAAAAAATGCAACCGATTTGGGCGGTGGGAAGCGATTTGCTTCAGACGGTCTAATTTCACGAAACGAGTGCCAAAAATTGGTTTATATTGCAAATAATTTTATGAACATCAACGACGGCTATAAGGGAAGCAGTGGCGGTGAAAAATCAGCATCTCCACATACGAAAAATGAAAAATTTGAAGGTATTGATCTACGTAGAATATCATTTTTGGTTTACATAGGATTATTGAAACCGGCCTACCTTCGTCTTCTGCTTGAAATTACCGAGGAAATGAGAGTTAAATTGGTGCACAAATTCAATATTGAAGAGTCACTGTACTTTTCCTACACACATCTAGTTTGCCGATCTGCCTTGGCAGGTGAATAGCAGTAAATCATTTGAATGTTATACTTTAATTGCGTTTAGTAATTTAATTTGCAGGTAGCTCTCAAAATAGAACTGATTTAAGTCACAAGATCCATGCAGACAACTGTAATGTACTTGGAGATAATATTTGTGCAAAAAAGTATCCAGCTTTTCACTGGAGAGATTACAGCGCGATATTGTATTTAAATGATGATTTCGAAGGAGGGCATTTCATTTTTTCTGCGGATTCCAAGGGCAGAAAAATTCAGGTGAAATACATCAAAATTTCGTTTAGGGTTCGGTTTCTTTAGGGGCACGTTCTTTTCGCAGAGTTCAATTATGCCGAAATGTGGTCGGATGGTTGGTTTTTCCTCGGGAAGTGAAAATCTCCATGGAGTTACAGGAGTGACCAAAGGTAGAAGATGTGCGTTGGCAGTTTGGTTTACTTTGGATCCAACTTATCAAGAACTAGACAGGGATGTTTCTCAACACATGTTGGATAACGATATCACGTTTCATCAGTATTATAGCCAGGATATTAATACGGAGTGAAACATTTTCTTTTAGTGTTGCGAAATGTTGTTGCTCGTCGTGCTTTAAACTTACTTTTTAAATTCACTGCGTTCGTTCTGAGCAATGAATGTATGTGTATGTGTTCAAATCACACCTTTTTGTGGTTTTGTTACTGTTTTACAGTTTTGAGATTAATTTCAGGTTTGTTAGGATACGTTTAATAGGTTTTCAGTTACTAACTTAATTTTTAAGAAACAACGGTTGTGCTGAAGAGATATTTTGGGTTGTGCTTTTTAATTGTTTACTTATATTTAAGCCATTTGTTTTATTAGTATTATGTACTTCACTTTTGCTAGTCCATAACGAACTCAGGCCATTTTATTATGAACAAATAGTGTAATAAATTTTTGTATATATATAACTTAATTTTTATTATTTGTATGTAGATACTACTTGTAATTGAATGTAGGTAGTATAGCTACACTACCTACATAGAAACTGGTTGAGTTGGGATTGGGATACTTATTTAGCGTCCCATTTTGATTATATATTACAAATATTTCGTATTGAAACTGATTCTGAAAATAAATATTTGTAATTTTTTACCGAAAATATACATTGACGTGATCTCGTCTGCGTGAACAATTGAAGAACATCCTGTTTATTTCAGGCGCCGCGGATTAAATAACTTTCCAAGTAATAGTTAAAATCAGGTCTTACAATAAATTAACTGTAGGTGAACTGAACTGAAAGTTTAAATTTATTCAGTCATCTGTGGATTGTAGGGAGCGACTTGAATTTAGTGGGGGGTCAACGGGCATCAATTTTTGGATGTCTATAAACAGGGGCGTCGCATAAATTTTAAAAAAATGTTTGGAAAACTAATTTTTCTGCTGCCTGAGCTCAGTGAGCAATTTATCTTTACACGAAACTTCCTTGGTTTTGTTGAATGAATGCTTTTTGGTAGTTTGTGTTAGAATTGCTGATGTTTCTTGTGCAGATTAAACAGAGGGTGTTTGCGTCCGGGTAGAAAGTCACGATAGGCAAAAAGGAAGGCTGCTTCAGTGGGGAAAGCTTGGTAATAGATGTATTGAAGATGTTGCTAATATGATATTCCGAATTTTGTGGTGCCGCCACTGGAAAGGCACGGGCGTCGCGATGCGTCCCGATGCCATAGTCCACGGTAACCTGGATGTAGTAGTCGTCAGTGCGGGACTTATATGTGACCGGTGTGGTAAGAAGAAAACCATGGAGGTCTACCCCAGGTCCTCATGGTTTTTGCTGCTTCTTGGATTCGCCCTTATAGCTGCCACCTTGCAGGGTACGTTTCCAGAAATTTGAAATTTTTCGACCGCGTGTGACCTATTCGAAGGTTTAGGCCGCGAAAAAAACGAAAGGTTACCAAGTACCAGTGCTTTTAGTGGACACTGTGCCTTTAATCCAAAATATCCTGTGACGATAGTGGAAAAGAAAAAATTATAATTATGTAATAGATTGTCGCCACCGCTTTTTCATGATCCTATTATATGACATTACGTTATTTTTGGATCGGCAAATTTCTAATAATAAAATTTGCCATAAATAAACTAGTTTTGTCTATAAATAACAAACTTTTCCTAACATAATAACTGGATTTTTTCACACAATGCTGCTTAATCAATCTATGCATGAATATTCTAACAAGTTTGGGCTGTTTCTTCTTAATTAATTTATTCGTTATTATTATCGCAAAAACCACCTTACCAAACAAGGCAAAATCTTCAAACAGTTGATGTGGTATCCAAAGTGGTGTCAAATTATTTTCATTTAAAGCAAAAATACGTTGCGAATGCCCACCAATTTTTAGTAACAGGCAACACGCCAGATACCCTAGACTTGTTACAGAATTAGAATTTGAGACGAGCACTTTCGACATGCCCTTGTTTTAATCACATATATTTTCTATTCAAGGCCAATTTTTTTTATGAAATGTTTCGTATTACGTAATTTTGGAATTCCCTTAAATCAGCTTGATCAAAATGAGTAACAGCTACCCAAACGTAAAGGACTCTCATATAATACTTTGGACACAATTTCTCTAAAGTGGACTAAAATCCAATGAGGAACAAACCATTTTTTCGCAAATACTAATACATTATTAACGCGTAACATTTAAAAGACCTGGAACTTTTTGCTTGGCGTGTTTCGAATTTGGGACATCTCAGCATCCCGGTCGCAAAAGAAGATAGTGTCTAAACATAGCTCAGTTTTCTATCCAATGAATACATCAGTAATTGAGCACTAAATTTAATCCTTTAGCTAGTTCACTTTTCATATCCTATTCCCTGCAGCGTTTTTTCATTTTATCTGGATTTATTCTATTAATATCTCTATTAAATACGCTCTGACCTCCAACGTATTTTTCGAATTGGCCAGTTACACAAATTATTATTTTATCATTCAAACTGACATGAACATCTAGCAAACTTCTAATAATCAATTGATTTAAATTTGTTCAAGCCGACAACATGGAAATTGACAAATATCGATGTCAAAATAGTTCAGTTTATCCGCTAACATACTGCCTTTTCTGCTGCAAAAGTTCGTAATTAAAAACTAGCAAATTATTTTTAATACTTTGTCGATATATCAAATAAATTTCGAACATATTTTGTGCGTTTTCATTCACTTTTTCGTTAATATTTCCGCTATTGCCAGCCGTAGTTTGAAAAATTGCAATTTACTAATTAATGCGTTTGGAGCCCAAAAGTTACGTAGTTAAGTATTCCCACCAAATCTATACCAACCAGTCAATAACGCCAACCGTTTCATTTGCACCGAAAATGAACAAAAAAATATTCTTTCGTTTTGAGTAAAAGCAGAAACGATCCTTACTAATTAAATATTTTTTCTCATGAAAGCATTGACTTAAACGTAATAATCTCTACATCGACTTAAATACTTTTCGCATACAAAAAATTATTCCGAATTCCATCAAATATCTCAAATTCATATTTAAAAAAAATAAATCCAGAATTTATTTAAGCTCTCCACAAACATTTGATAGAAATTAAAAGAAAATCGGCCACTCTTTTAAATAAGTTTCCATTGCCTTGCATTAGGAGTTTACATGTTCTCCAACACCTCAACATTCTGCTCTAAACTAAGACAAAAATACAACTTAAACTCTAGGATTTGAGCCAAATATATGTATAACTACTACATGCAAAACAACACTGGCAATTTCGCAATTTAACAAGGGTGTGTTTTAAATAACAACTTCAAAGGAAAACGATTGATGGAGGTTCTGGTATGTAAATGTTAAGACAAATATCTAGAGCAGTCACTTAAAAATGCAAGGTATTAAATCTCATTTAACTTGCTGGCACCAATTGTGATTTATTAATAGAACATTTATTCATAGGGAATATACATTTAGTTAATCGTTCTAATTGGCGAATTATAATATTATAAAAACTATGATTATATTGCGCTGGAATGTAGGTATACACTTTTTTAATTGATAGATCATCAAAAATACATTCAATTGAAAGGTTCAACGTTTCAATTAGCTAAACCTGTCCTGATATAGTCAATGCCTTTTGAGTTGTCTACATGGGAGCCTTTCCAAAAATATTACGGCGCTCAATATATCATTTTTCTAACATATGAACTTAACAGCTGTTTTTATGGAGGCTTGCCAGTGAATTAGTGAGTTGAAAAGCCATTGAAATTTTAATGTCGTTTGAAGTTAATACCTAAAGACACAATATATTATCCAATTTGTGATACATAAATTATTTATAACTGGTCCCTCGACTGTTATTTAGTGGCAACCTGCTCCAAATAATCTTTGCTTTAATCGGCAAGTTAATTATTTTCCTGATTTCAGCAAAAATCATTGAAATACCAAGCGTATCAAGTAGTTAGGGAACGCCAGGTATTTATACATTGAAAACCTCGCCTACCTTATCAAATATAAAAGGATTCCACGTAATAGAAGTCATAAAACATTGTGATTGATATATTTGCCAAGAAAATAACAATCTGAATTAAAAAGTATACTGCCCACATCCGCCAATGTGATCTTAATCACGAAATTCAGAGTCAATATTTAGATTTTTGCGGTTATTTGTTTGGTAAAATGTCCATCAACGCTTTTTGAAAAAGCTCATTGAAATATGATAGCGTTTGTCTGATTTCGGACTAACGCTTCACACAAAAAAACCTTTTCAATTAGAAAATAACCGCATAAAGCTGAAAAAATACGGTTCATCATTGTATTATTAAACAGGCCTGAACTGTTATATTCCTTATAAAAATAGCCTACACCCAGAAGGTGAATCATTGGATATTCAAAATGCTCAGGATGTACCTATTAAACTGTTAACCAGGTATCTAATAAACTTCTAGTAAAGATGTTTTCCTTGGCCATTAAAATGTTTGCAAAATCGAAACGATTTGCAATTAACATTTCGGATATAGAAATCTGAATGAGTTTTACGGGTATATGTCATGCTTATATATTTATTTTGGATTGGGAGTATTAAGTGAGTGAATCATTTCTGTGAATTAGACATCAACCAGAAACTTGGCCAACTTTTGGGTATTGGTTTTGCAACATGCCATCCTACTATTGTTAAAGTGAAGCCAATTTTCCATCAACGCCTAAATGATATATCGCATTATTAGCATTTAAATTTCTAAGTATATGCGTATAAAGTCCCATAGAAGAAACTTAGCAGATTCAAATAATTTATAGTTCCTTTCATTTACAGAAACCACTGACTGTCCGACATCCGACCAAGTTTCATGTACGAGTGGAATTAAGTGCAATCAAGATGAAGACTGTCAGAGTAATGAAATATGTTGTGCGAACCCGTGTTATACGAAACGATGCATACCAGTTCCGAAAGGTATCAATTATTTAATAAAATCACCCAGCTAATAAACTACAAAATAAGTACCTAGACAAATCTCATTTCCTCGAGAGATAATCCTGGCTGGAAAATACAATAGAAATTAGCGCTTTTGAAACTCGGTGGAATCGATTTATTTTTTTAAGGTAAACAGTGACGTATTTAGCAGCATTGGAACCGCAAAATACATATTTCTTCCAGTTTATTCCAATATATTTTGGGATTTCTGCTACCCACGTTATTTTTGGAACGACCCGTGGCCGATCGTTGAGAAATATTGTTTTAAATAACGTTAGGGAAATCACATAAGACAAAACAGATGCTTTCCAAAATCCTATTTAATAGACCACTGTGTGCAATGTCTTAATGCATTAAAAATGCACACTTTCTCTGTATGCAGGGTGGTTGCGGTCAGTCGATATTAATGATTAAATAGAAATCAACCACATTAAACCAGTGATTTAGCCCTCAACATTGGCGAAACTTGTGTAAAAGAATCGTAATTAAACAATTAGGCTGTTATTTATTTTCCCTTTGAGTATGAAGAAGTAGGAACATAATAATCAGCAATGCGGGGTGTTAGCAAGCAAATAAAACATTACACAAATGCCGTCTGATAATATTGAGCCAAGGCTATCGAGCAATTCGCAGAAATATTCTATTAAAAAATTATGTCATTTTATTTTTGGAAACTGGAAATGAATCTGTTCAGGACATAAAGCGCCAGACCATATCGTCAAAATGTCAATTTACTTCACATTCTGGTCTAACAAATCGGTTACTTTTATATAATTTGAAAGTTGCTTACGACTGTGTAACATCACTTTCGATTTGAACTATCACCTGGTCTTTTAAATATCATTTGAATCCCCATAAATTGCTGATTTCTATAGGTGCCACACTTACTGAAACTTTTTAAGAGGTAAATACCACTCTTGAGTAAACGATAAACACCAAGCAACTTCCTTCAAACATTCCAATCATTAAATATCGTAATTTATTCACTGTGTAAATAAATGTAATATTAACCATATAAGCAATAAATATAGTTAAATAAAACGGTGCTAATAAATGTAACTAGTAACAGTAAATATACAAGATAAACTTCATCCCGTTGAACAGAAACCAAACATTCTTGCAATGTGTTAATATTAAGCACAAAATTATTTGAAGTATAACGTCCAGCACGAATTTCCAAACACCACCTATATTAAAGAGTTTTAAATTATTTAATAATATTAATTTTGAAAAACGAATGAGAGTTTCATCACCTGAGTTTATTGTAAGGCTGTGAAGGTTTCAACTCATCTTTTACGAGTTTTTTTAATTTAAATTACGCGTTTATATATTTTATTTCAAATTATTTTTAAATCATCAAAAGGCATTCAGAAAGTAGTGAGCCGAAATAACATGGCATTCAACCATGGTATTTTAGACAAGCAGTGACTTTCATTTTAACCGAAACCTGCCTGCAAATGTGTACGAGCTACAGATAAATCTTACATACCAGATGAACAAAATGTTTTCAGGCGTGCAAGGTGAAGCTGATACTGATGGTCCATCCGAAACCGACTGTAGGCCTTACATCGAGAAAGCTCTTAAGGAGCTCGAGATTGGTGAGGCCGGACATGTACAAAATGAACCTTCAGACAAAGACGAAAGCGCGGAAGATGTTCCCACTGTAGAAATAACCGACGACTCCAGCCGCCAAGTAGATGTGGATGGAGAAGGCGGAGCTAGTGATCAAAATGATGGACCTGAAGATAAAAGCGCGGAGCAGGATGTAACACAGCAAGAAGCTGCGCGAGGGGTTTGTTTATTTATAACTATCGGATTTAGTTCACACTGTTTAAGGCCAAATTGTGCTTTCAGAAATCTGAGGAAAATGATGACGATTCAGGTGAAGCACCCGACGAAAAGGTAAAGGCACCTGAATCAATGCTAAATTCTAAATCAAAAATGTAATGCCCAGATTGCGCATCATTTTCCACATATTTACAGGTAGTAAATAAAAGCGAAGAAAATGCCGAATCCGATGAAGAAACGAAGACTTCAATCGAACAAACCGAAGCAGGAGAGCAGGCGAGTGTAGAATCGGAAAGTGTAGAGGAACAACAAAATCCCGAAGATGCAGCTAGTGCAGAAAGCGAAGAACAAGTTGAAGCACCTGAACCTTCAATAGTAAAAAGAGAGGCTCCTGTGGATAAGACTGAATCAACACCGGTTCAAGCTTCTGCTGTTGCGGCTAGTCAGGAGGGTCCAGATGATGAAAACCCTGGTGCCACAAGTGTCGAAGAAGCACAAGAGGCAGCTGAAAGCCAAGAGACTGACGGAGCTGAAAGTGCTGAAGCTGTGCTACCAAGCACAGCTTCAAGTGCTGGAAAAGTAGAAGTACAACAAGAAGCTCAGTCAGTGGAATCAATTGAAGAGGCAGGCGAAAGCGAAGAAGACAAAAAAAGGGAGCAGGTTGGCGCTAATGAAGAAAACGATGAACCATCTCAAGAAGACAACAGTGACGAACAAGCAACTTTAGAGGAAAGCGCTGAAGGTGACACTCAATTATTAATTTTCATTGACACATTTTGATCAATACGTTTAATTACTAGATGGTGGATGTCCTCCTCCGAACAAAGTGTCTTGTATAGAAGGCGAACTATGTACAAAACACAGACATTGTGGGGAAAATCAGATCTGTTGTCCCAACAAATGCTACAGACGACGATGCACTGCAGGAACAGTTCCACAAGCAGAACTGGATGCCGAATCTGCATCTGAAGAATCCGACGAAGCAAAAAGTGAAGAGACACTGGCTCCGAGCTCACCAGGTAACATATACATACTTTTATGTACCCGAAATAGTTCCTGCTAATAAAAACATATTGCCTGCATAGAAACTGGATGTCCCTCACCCAATGAGGTGTCTTGCACTGAAGGCGATTTATGTAGCAAACATGGGCAATGCGGAGAAAATCATATCTGTTGTCCAAATAAGTGTTATAGAAAAAGATGTACTCCTGGAACAGCCACATCTGCAGAATTGCTCGAAGAATCTGAAGAAGATTCTAAAGAAGAGTCGGAACAAGTTGTCGAAAAGCCTGACAACAAATTGCCAGGTAAAAAAAATTTAAATAAGTTTCAAATATTGAAGCAGTTTAACTTCGGGCTAATTTGCAGATACTGGATGTCCCGCACCTAGTGAAGTTTCATGTGTGGAAGGTGATTTGTGTAGTAAACACAAACATTGTGGGCAAAGCGAGATTTGTTGCCCCAACAAATGTTATCGAAAACGTTGCACTGCCGGAACCCCAACAGTCGAAGATTTAGAAGACGAAGAAGTTAGCGAAGAGTCCAGAGAAGAAGAAACCAAGGGCGCGGCAGCCTCAAGTGTTTCAAAGAAAGGTATAATTACAATTGGTCGAACAAAATTAAATATTTAAATTGCTTCACATTCAGACACGGGATGTCCAGAACGTGACGTAGTACCCTGTGGTGGGGAGCCATGCGTTAAAAATAAGCATTGTGGTACTGGCGAAATATGTTGTGCAAACAAATGCTACAGGAAAGTTTGTGTAGAAGGTACCCCGGGCTCAGACGAAGAAGACGAGGAATCTGAAGAAGAATTGAAAGAACAGCAAACTGAAGAAAGTGTTACTGGTGCAGCCGAAAGTGAAGAAGATGGTAAGCACGTTCTTAAGTCAAGGCTGCTTTAAAATTGAACCTATATTATCAATTTTTTGACAGACAGCAATTGCCCATCACCTGCCAAGGTGTCGTGCACAGAAGGTGAGAGATGTGGGGATGACGATGATTGCAGTAGCCGGGAAATATGTTGCCCTAATAAATGCTACAATAAACGTTGTATTCCAGGTTCCAAAAAAGGTATGTTGCGTTTAGATTGATCGGTGAATGAAGCATTAATAAGTTATTTTAATACTTAGACCAAGATGTAAGTGAAGAGAAACCTCCCGTTAAGGAATCAAAACCGACACCAAAGGTGCAACAACCTGCAAAAGTCGAAGTCAAGAAAGAAACTAAACCAAAAGCTGCACCTGTACCATCACCTGCACCAAAACCATCACCGCCACCACCTAAAAAGGAAGTAAAGAAACCTGAAGCGAAAAAACCCTTGGACGAATCAACGGTTGTATTTAAGCCGGTGACTGTTGTTGAACCCCTAGTTGAGGAAGATGATGAAAGTCTGGAAAAAGGTATAAAGAACCTTTTGATTTTCCCTAAGACTAATACATTTGTCTGGTAGGTGGAGAAGCGCCAGTGGAAGAATTATCTTTAGATACTGACATTCCGACTGAGCTGCGATCCCGAGAGCATGTGGAACACTTGTTGAAGCTGGATCAATACTCAACTAAGACGGATAACGTGCAAAATAAAGTATACGAAGAGACTCTGAAAGAATTAAAGAGACTCTACGAAAACGCCATAAAACCTTTAGAAGGTTTATATAAATACCGAGATTTAAGCAACCGTCATTTCGGTGATGCTGAAATATTTTCGAAACCTCTCATTCTGTTTATGGGACCGTGGAGTGGAGGCAAATCTTCCATTATTAATTATTTAACTAATAATGAGTTTAATGAAACTGCTTTGAGGACAGGTATTAATAAAATTGAATCAAAATTCGTAGGCACTAAAAATATATTATAGGAGCCGAACCATCTCCTGCTTACTTCAATATTCTGATGTACGGTGAGGAGCCGGAGATTATTGACGGCACCGAGTTGGCTGCAGATTTTACCTTTTCCGGCTTACAAAAGTTTGGACAAGGATTAGAAGAGCGACTCCGAGGAGTAAAGCTTCCCTCCAAGCTGCTGGAGAAAGTAAATATTGTAGAAATTCCTGGCATTCTAGAAGTCCGAAAACAGGTTTCAAGACTGTTCCCATTCAATGACGCTTGCCAGTGGTTCATTGATAGAGCCGATATAATATTCTTGGTATACGACCCATCCAAACTTGATGTAGGCCCGGAAACTGAGGCTATTTTAGATCAACTTAAAGGAAGGGAACATCAGGTAGTTAACTAATCGTGTGGATTTATAAGAATTGAAAACAATATTTTCGTTACAGACGAGAATAATCCTAAACAAGGCCGATCAAGTGAAGCCGGAAGAGTTAATGCGAGTCCAAGGAGCACTTATCTGGAATATTTCTCCTCTGATGTCCTCACCCCAGCCTCCTGTGATGTACACAACTTCTCTATGGTCCAGGCCGTTCGAACCTTGGGCCCCAGTTCGACTACTTCAAGCTCAGGAGCGAGCATTCTTGAGAGATCTCAGAACGGCTGTTGATAGGCGAGTAGAAAACAAAATTGCCAGCGCTCGCAGGTTTGCCGTAAGTTTGAATTCACCAAGTAGTTGAAATACAGAATTAATTGTTCTCTACTTCAAGGTTCGAGTGAGGAACCATGCTAAAATGGTCGATTGTTATTTGACTACGTATTACAATCACAAATCGGTGTTTGGTAATCGCAAGCAAGTTGCCAACGAGATTATTGAACGTCCTCAGGATTATCATATCTACGAAGGTCTATCAACGCTTACGAATATCTCCAGATATGACTTGCCAGACCCTGATGTCTATAGAGACTTCTTTAAACTCAATCCATTGTATGAGTTCCAGCAACTTGCGGCTACTTGTACTTACTTCAGAGGTGAAATAACTTTTTCCGCCAATTTCTTATTTTTCGCGGAATAAAAATCCTAAGTTTTTTTAAATTACCACATTCGTATTGTAAACTTTTTTCGCATCTAAATCGACTGATAACTGTTCTGTTCATTGTTGCAGGTTGTCCTATTAATAGATTAGATATAGCAATCGCCTATGATCTACCAGAATTGGTAGGCACGTATAAACGGAATCTAGAAGAAGCACTAACAACCGCCAGCAATCCTCCTAAAGAACCAACAACACCACCGAAGAAGAATAAAAAATCTGCGCCTGGAAGTTGAAAATGCATTGGAGAATGTAAGTAATCAATCACAAAAAAGAACGTTCTATGAAAATATTGCATAAGCTATGCTCTCATGAGGGTAGAATCGAATTCCTAGGAAGAGATAAAATGTCAGTGCTGCCATTAGATCTAAACATAATAAACTATAAAAAAACTGAAACAGTGCACATTATTTCAATGAAAGACTACAATCAGAAATGCTTACCTTGTCCTGCCGCCATACTTGTGTGTTGATCGCATTTACAGTTAATGCATTCGGAGTGTTGTTATAGTAAGGGATAAAACATAGACAAAGAGAGTGGACTATACGTATGCTGCATTAATTTTAAGCACAATTCATAGAACTGGGTGTACAATTTCTTACAAAATTTACTAAACCTTACAGATAAGTTTTTAAACGTCTTATTGTATAAAGTCTCGATGCACAACACTGCGTTAATCTAAAATAATTAAGTGATAAAAAACGTTATGGAACCTAGCAAGTTCCTGTTAGTGAAGTGCATTAGTCTTTACGTAACGAGTATACATTATATAAATTAGTGTACAGATAAGTTTATGTTTACCCTGTAGAATGTTGTAAGTAAGTAGCTGGTTACTTGTTTTTCTTTTGTTATATTCGAAACGAATGGATACTGTATGAAGACAATTTTAGATTAAGCAAAATAAATATATTTTCATTTGTATTACATAGTTTCATTTCCACTCTACACGATTATTACGTAGCTGCAAGTTTATTCTAATCATCACAACACATTGAAACAGTGATAGGTGCTTCATTTTCAACCAACACAGAACCAAATATTTAAAATCACTTGAACTCCTCTGTTTGTACGTAGTTACGGCATGATGAATGAAGAATAAAAATCAGGAACCAATTAATATAGAACAGATAAATTCTACAAAAGAAAAATAAAACATTTTTTTTTAATTCTAAACTCACGTTTTGTTTGGTCGCAACATTATTCTTTTGATATCTCCATAGAATAAATTAGTTTAAAAAAATAGCTCAAAAGTAAGATAAAAACACTATTTTGTTGCTACGTTAACAAACCCCTAACAAAACGTCCATCCTAAACATTGCGATTTCTACGCTTTACAGAGTGTGCCCAACGAAAAGTGCATAAGAATATGAAATGAAAAATTGGAAGGTTTTTTACCAGTAACTTCTAAGTTATTTTACGAAGCTAACACTTGCTTAATATCATGTTTTCGCATCGCAGATACAAAATTATGAACACCTATAAAGTTAATAAAACCACTTTATATTTTAAAGATCCAAAGGCACATTCCAAGTAATTTAAATTTAGAACTGCTGAACGTGTTTAAATATAAGCAGCAAATGGTGACATTACGTTACTTTAATAAAATCACAAACCAGTATGAATTTAAATACTTTGAATTATATTTAGTCTCAATATTAGAATACAGTAACATACATTTATATATATAAAAACAATAAGTATTTAATGTATTTTTACAATTATTCACCTTAGTAATGGGAAGAAACATCATTGACTCGATTCAATATTCTATGAAAATTTTGGGATTTACAAAATATATAATATATTAACTACAGTAACTTAAACATTATACATAAGCGGTCTTTTAATTATACTCGCACACTGTTCATTGTTTGTGCAAAAGGCATGTGCAGAAATATAGCAGTTAATTTTTACGCGTGGAAAATAGAACCATAAAAACATTTGCAAAGCATTAAACCCATCTTTATATGCTTTTAAAGGCTACATTCAATGTTATCGTATATAGATAGAAACATTACAAGCTGAAAGACTACAATGTTTCAGCTACGGATATTCAAAGATGATTTAGGCGGTTTAAAAATGTTTTTGCCTGAAAATATAGGTAAACGCTGTTATATACTATAAAACTTAGGGAATATACCCTAAACATTTATAAATTCACTGTGATGTCAAAAATAACTTTCTCTTATACAGAATAAAATATATAATTTCTAACCAGAACAATTTCCACTTTAAAAATAACCTTTCAAATTTCATACGATAGGTTAAGAGTCGACACTTTGAGTTTTGATTAATTCTGCCAAGCATCCAATAAAAAATCAGGGTTGGAACTGACTACTTAATTAGATGATTACCGCTTAATCAAGGCACTAAGTACCGGGCCTCAGTAATTAAAACTACACAGTCTATACAAACTGTATTAATAATTAATGTGTAATACAAAGAGTGGGCCTCTATATACATGTTAATCTAACAAACTTTTTCATTTCTAAATTACGAAATACGAATAAATCAAATCAAAACTATTTCAAAGTACATACATTTCTACTGTTGGACTGAAATACAAAAAAAAAACGACGTGATAACTAATTTGTGATATACAAAATTAAATTGTGGGTTGTCGACATTATTTCATCACTTGAAGCTATGATTTGCATATACATAAAATAAAATAAAAATAAAATGCGTTTATGCATAGAAATTACCAAAGATGTTTATTTGATGATCATTAGATTGAACAGGGCTGATCCCAGAAAGCTATTTATGTATGATGTGTACACGTATATGTAAGCATAATTTGCAAAGGCATTTTTCGGTTCAATTTCACTTCAAATCAAGGTGTGACATTTTTACTCAGTTTCCATTAAAAGTCTAATATTTACCACTTAATTTTGTATATATTGCTGACATTGGTCCCAACAATGTTTGAAAGACCATTATATTTGCAATTGCTGAAGAATGCAGATTGCCAATTACGTGTTTCCTAAGAGCAAAAAACGCTTGAAAACACATTACGACATTAACTGTAAGCACAACAGATTTAAGGAATAGGAAGTTAAAATTTATTAAGAAAATAAAAGTCACTAATAAAATTTGATATTTTGAAATCGGACAGAAACATCTTTGAAGCTTTTATCATTTATTTAAACATAAAAATATTAAGTCTTAGTTCACTTTATTTAACTGCATTTTCTGCAAAACAAAAACATTACTCGGAGGCCTCAGAAAAAAACGCAGCATTCAGATCATTGATGGGCAATACAATTTATCTACTGACTACGAATCTTCTGAGTTTAGGAGGTTTACAAAGGAATTAAGCCGATTAGTAACATAATATAAACTGATAACGCTACTCTTAGAGAATTTTCTTTCTACCTGTATTAATGTGAATAAAAATCTACTTTATTAGTGTTAGTAACATCGGATGATAGTCATCGCACGACTAGATTTCATTCAATAAGTGAATCATAGACATGACTGAGCACGAAACTACACAAATATACTGTATATTCTAAGTGACAATTACTAACATACATACTGAGAAAAAATAATTTAATAAAATAATTTTCTTCGAATAATATTTTGAGTCCTAAGTTTCTCTAATGGGCAAATAAAATAGTCCTTTTAAAAGGGACAAGCCAAGACTAGAGCAGTTGCAACTGTTAAAAATCATTTTATTTACAAATGTTTATGTGCATAAGATGAAGATGTGCAAAATACGTTTATCGGCATTGGCGTGGCAGTTGCCGCATAATCCGAATTAGATAATTCTCTAATTCCGCTGATTAAATTAATAGCATCGGTTTTCTTTAATTGCATGATAATAATAATAAATTGGAAACAGACTAAGTTAGTTTAATTAAAGCCTAAAATTCTGTAGATAATCTAATAGAAAAATGATATTTTCGAGGCAGTTTGCTTAGTTCGATTGCGAGGCAATTAAAAAAATTTGAAAATAAGAGTAGATTTTCACAAAAAAATATCAAATAATAACGCGGAAGAAAGTTTCAAAACAAAGCAAACTCTATAGGTGCTGCAGAAACTTATAAAACGATACTGAAGATAAAACATATTAAGTATATCCAGTATCTTAACGATTCACCTATGCCAAATGAATCAACAAATCAAAAACACGCTTACCATCCCGTGCTCTGGCTGTCACAAGGGCTTTAAACCCTCAAAGCATTTTTATGGGGTACAATAATTAGAAACTCAAACTAAAACAGTAGACAAAACCTGTATGTTATGTAAAAACTCCATCCAAATCGATAAAAAAATTAATACAAATTGTTTTATTGCATCTATTAACACAAAATCTATATGAAATATTCCATAATACAAGATTTTATGTATTCACTTGCACTACTTAAAGCGCTTTCATAAAATTCTAAAAAAAATTAAAGCCGATTCACTGGATTGTAACTGGATAAAGGATAGCGAGTGTGTATTGTACATAGATTTACAAAATATGATAACGAAATGGATGAGTCTAGCTTGAATCATGCCTGCCTATTCATCAATAAGGAAGGAGCCGAGCCATATTCGAATAGACACGATAAACCCTTTTATCAAAGAGTGAAAGGAGATTGTTCGCATGGCTAATCCAAAACTAGAATCAAAACCAATTCATTCTCTGAAAGACAAAAAATACCAGCTCAAAATTATAAAATTTTGAGAGCAGTGAAAACTTGAATCCTTTAAATGATCTTTTATTAGTATTCAAGAACAAATTAATCTAATATTTATTTAGTTAGCCATTATAAAAGACAGAAGCATTTATACAATTCAAATGAAAACTATAACTCATATTATAAAATTCCAATGTTTGTTCTAAATACATAAAATAAACATATTTGGATATTTAAATACATTATGCAAGTTTATGTGTTGTGAATTTAAATCTAAGTGAATCGCAGTATATCCAGACTGAACTATAAAACCAATATACATAAGCCCCTACATGTACAGTATGAATTATCTTGGCATATACAGATCGCTGTGTTAAAAAAGCCATTGCACTGTTTTATACCAGCGAACTTATTGGTATTTTCTTCTAATGGGTAAAAAAACAATAGGCGTTTAATTAATTTCAGTTTCAATTTACCAGATCTAAGAATCAATTTGAAAATAATTCACCCTGTACACACAATACATAGGTCTTCCTTCCAAAGGCTCAAAAACATATTCCGATATTTAATTTAATAATCCTCTCTGCCGTTATGCTTCTCTATTTTAAATCTCCTACACCCTGTACACTAATCCGCTTTCAAAGTATGTTAAATGTGAAAAAAAAACTGCCATACCAATAAATGTTATATTGTCAAATTAACGTCTATGTTACACCACTGCTTAAATTATTAATTAATGAGACTTTTATAGTTAAAAACCCAATTACACATGTAGATGTTACAAATGGAAGACTTAACAGATTGAATTTTAAAGTATTTTAATAGTAACGTAAACGTTTGGTTTCGTGTGATTAGATATAAAATTCAACACAACTAGCGAGGAAAACTTTTCTATTCTAAATTATCATAGCATGAAGAACACCGGCTAGTTTAAGCACCAAAGGGATTTACTATCACAATGACGCGAAGGTCCGACCTACACTTGAAACGCCTTAGTGCCACATGTAGCACAAAGTTAAGGTCAATCTAAACATTGGTGATATAAGCAGTGGTGACACTCAAGATAAGTAAAATATAGAACTTTTGACAACATTCCAGCTTTTCTTAATGAGCCATAGCTTAGTAATTGAGGAATTTGCAGACAAAGAAACGTTGCTTTCGCCCAGTACAAGATTTTCTGTTGCTAAAAGTATTGTCCTATAAAGATGTCTGAAAGTTTAAGGTACTCGGCAGGAGTGCTTAAAAGATCTACTTCTATTTGACACCACAAATTGGCAGTATTTTTAAATACCCTATCACTAAAATTGCATCTAATTAACAACCTTAACTTTTGGAAAATGACGGACAACATAGATTATTCGGCGACTTTTAAAAGAACATTTATATAGGGCTATACTTATTTCAAATTCTCAACCGCAGTTGTACCGCGAGTCCGCACCTGCCTCACGCTTTTACACTGTTGCACCTTTATAGTATGTGATAGTCTTTATTTTTTAAATGTACTTTTTGGTTCCAAGTGCAGTTATTTTATAGAAGCGCACAAAGCGATTTCTTTTTCTTGTTTTGTTTCTTCTCTGGAGATTTTTTATTAATTTGTCGAACTAGATCATAAAATATCTGAAATAAAATAATCACTTTTACTCTTAATGCAGCGTTGGAATTAAACATATTATGCAGAAAATGTAATTTTTGTCAAATCACAACGGATAGTTCTGGTTTACCTGAATTGAAACACCGTGAATCCGCATGATATACTAACTACTGAAGCCCTTAAAACCTACTACTTACATCGTAAACATTAATTTTGGCTTTGGCAGAAGTTTCCATAAAGGCACAGTTGAACTGGCGAGACAGGACGCTGCCTTGCTCTTTGCCTACAACTCTTTCATCTTCCAAATCACATTTATTTCCAACTAAAACCATTGGGACATCATCTGTATCCTGGAACAAACAGAAAAATTCCATAAAAAAAATGAAGAGTGATTCATTTGATAGATGAACTGTAATATATAAAAGGTAGGTATAAAAACTTGGTAATTTCAATAACTAAAGGGAATGAATTAGATATTACATTCAAATAGCTTAACAGTTAATAATAAATAAGATATCGTAAATGTGTTCCACCCAGATGAGAAGCGAATTGTAATTGCAACATTCCGCAATGAATCACTCTTTAAATTGAGCAAACATTTAACTAATTCGCCACAAAGCAATAATATGTGCTGTGGTCAGCAACAACCGATGTCTGTTTCCAAAATATTGATTAAATAGCATGCAATTGCGTTAAAATACTTTATCGCATCCCACAAACATTTAATCATTATTATGCCGCCAAATTACCAGCAAATGGGTAACAATATTTTAACACAAATGCTGCAAAAACTTTTTTCTAGGTGATAATAACTTGTTTTTTTTTGTTATTTTCAAAAAAATTTAAAATTTTACAAACTTTATTTTCACTTTAAATAGATTTCGTTGTTTCCCAAGACCTAAAAATTACTATACTTAGTTGACGAAAAATAATCAACACGTGAGGTAAGATTTTGTTTGTTCAACGAATAGCTTTTTTAAAACGAGTTGTCAAAATTTGTAAGCTAAAAGTATCAACAACATATTCGTATTAGATCAAGCATCGATCACTACTTAAAGAATGTTTCTGCAAAACACAAATGTTAGAGAAAATGTAAAATTCTTCGTTATTCTCGGTGGGGTTTCTCAAGAGGTTTGCAATTGTCACTATCGATAATTCGCGTGGAATCAAAAAAAGGGAAGTCTAATGTTTTATAATTGGTGGTATTGCCAAACAGCTTGATAATACGGTTCGATTCGTGTACAGTTCTGTTAACTGCAGAGATAAATTTCTGCATGGCCGAGAAATAAAGGAAATGAGAACAGGAAAACGATACCAATCTACTGGTCTTAAATTTTATAATCGAATTTCAAATTGTCGGTAAATTCTTTCGGCAGGCTTCAACGGTACGTTCAGATATCAAGAGAAGATATTCAGGTAGCAACTTTTCCACTTCATTACATTGTTAAACAGGGCCGTTTTATTGCATACTGCCTATACTAAATAATAATACTGATTCAATTAAATTCATTGCCATTATGCACAATAAATTGGTGCTACAGCGTTTCTGGTTGTGGCCAGAAGGTATTTAAGAATATCAAGGTTTATGAATGTTATCGCAAAGCATACCCGGTTCAGCCGTAAATTAGCAACTATGAAGTTTATACTTGACTAAAGGTGTAATATGTTAAAGGGGTAAATTCTTAAACGCTCATTTTCCTTTCGTTACGACAACATTTTACAATATCTCCCAGGATTAGTAAATTATTTACTTTCCTTATTATATTATATATTAATATATTTATATTTTAGCTGTAAAAATATATATTTAATAGTTGTGAAGATAAATTTTACGTTGAATATTGCATGACCCTTTATTTCTGCCGTTGATTATGAATAAAAGCAAATGTATTACACGGTTAAACTCGACAATTTCCCCTCGCCCACACGATAGGTCCTTTAATTTGGGGCCTCACTAAACCTTCTTGTATATTCTTTGCCTATAGAAAGGGTGTAATTGCCTATCTATACAACAAATATTTCCAAGAAAATTGGCTTTTTTCGACATACTTGACCCCGGCCAAGGTGATACCATTTCATAGGTGGTGATTAATGACCCCATCGATCAAAATTCTTTTATGGAATTAATGGACAGAGAAAACGATGGTTTCATAATGGGTTCAAACCTAACTGATTCAAACCATAAAACAGTTTGCGAGCTATGCAACTTTCTGCGACAAGCTGATTATTAATAATTGTATTACTGAGTTAAAAATGACGTAGAATAACGTTTAACAAATTATTATTGTAGTATAATTACTACAATATCGATAACTACTTGATTATATTTGATAACTCAATATACGTCTGTTTGTTGTTACAGCCAAGGTTAAACGTATCGTTGATATCTGAAAATTAATTCCAGAATACTTAATAGGGAAAAATCGTTGGGGTAATAAGTGAATGTTTTTCTAATTAACTTGACTTTCCTAACAACCTACACCGAAAATATTTACTTTTCAGCCTTATTATTCTTATAATAAAAAGAAAAACAAATAGCAGAACAATTAATCTGCCATATTAATATGAACTGATAACATCGTTCATTAATTAACGCGGCCATAATGTACATCCTGAAATAATTTTCCATAAGGGTGGATCTAGGGAAGGTATAATATGATTTTACTTTTTTCCGAGTATCTGTGATGACTCACTGGAATTAGTTGGACTTTCTGTACGATTCTTCGCTTCACTTAATTAACTGTTCAAAAATTTTGATAAATCGCTCGAATAGCGAAACATAAAAATTACAATCATTTTAGCCACATTACTGTTAATAAAACTGGTTTATTAAGGCGCCTCTCGGTTCAGCAATAAGACATTTTATAAATAATTATGCAGCGTAGTACGTTCTAAATTGTCCTAATGAATAAATAATTTAGCGCCTCCGATCAATTTGTCTTGATTGCCTTGTTCTCAAAATAGGTATAGTCGCTTCCATCTAACAAGCTGCGGTTTTATTCGCAATTTACATAAAATATTACACGCATCAGCTCTAGATAAAATATCACCTCAATTTATAAAAAAATGCCAATCGTGCTCGTCACACATTATTAGCGATCATGTAACTACCTACCAGGAAAAACGGAAGTTTGTGCTTTGGATAAACATATATAGTAATATCTTATATCAAATACCAATATTTGGTAAAATAAACATCTCAGTAGCTTTTATGTCTTATAACATAAAAATCAAGTCTGATGTGACAGTGCAAAGCCAAGTAGTTCATTTGCATTAGAATAGTTTGATAATCTAATAGAATAAAATTAGTAAATCCGTCATACTAGTACAAAAAAATTCTCGCATATGGCTAATATATGAAATAAGTGCACGCCAGCGTTAAAACAAACAGACAGCTGAAATGATAAACCATTTAATCAATTTACGCCCGGATATAGGTATTAGTTTTTTCCTGGCTGATTAGAATGGGACCGCATTTGTTATGATAATGAAACTAACTGTAATAGCATTGAAAGTAATACCGGGTGGCCGAAATACTGTAATGTCCGATAAATAAAATGGTTACATAACTGCTTATATTACCCCATGTAATGAATAAATGAACTTCATTTTCAAGGTATTTAAGGCGACCCGAAACTGAAACCCACTTTATTTCACACACGATAAGGGCGATTTCAGATATTACTAAATGACACCCAAATGAACAGGCATTTTTATACCAAGAAAATCAATAATTCATGTAATGTAACCGCTTGCTACATGCTAGCTAAAATTGATAAATGACACTGAAAATCGCTAAAATTGGCAGCATAATATCAATTAAATAATTTAAACATGATTCATCTAAAATATGGCCGCTGTTAGTCATTCCGGTTAAATGATTCAAATTGACGATTCGAACAATTAAAAAATAACTTACCTTGACTCTAAGAATTTGCTCTCGGAGGTCTTGGAGATCGTTAAATGTTGACTGAGCCGTAATTGAATAAACCAAAACGAATCCCTGGCCATTTTTCATGTACAAATCTCTCATAGCAGTAAATTGTTCCTGTAACAAACGTGTTATTTATTCACAATGAAACTTGATCTGAGCAACACAGTGATTTGCTTACGTAATGAACAACTTTTATGCTTTCAAAAACACTCATTATGAAGTCAATGTTTTAATAGAGAAAAAACTGAAAACCCTCTAACAGTTTGATAAAATAAACTACCCCTCCAATTTTTCCGTAAGGCGCTTTAAAAACATCGCTGATAAAATAAAATGCTTTCAACAACTTGTGTCAAATGAATCAACATGGAAATAATTTTAATAATAAAATGAAAGTATGAATTATTGAGAAAAAGTCCTTCTTAGGAACTAAACTGAAACGTATTCAATTTTGAAGATACATGTTATTAATTGTTTGAAACTTTGAGAAAATTGCTTCTTTACGTAGCAGCATATTTACAAATTGAATAAAAGTTTACTGACGAGTACCTATATTAGGAAAGTTTAGAGAAAAAGGAATAAAGAAATTATTTTTTTCAAGTTCAGGAAGGCGTTTGAAGAAATATTTCCGGAATATATTAAAATGATACTAGGTATGTAAATGTTATTAATGTTAATGAGTAAGAGTTGATGAAAGAAGAGAAATGATGAAAATGATGCTTGCAAAAGCTCAAGTTCAAACTATTAAGAGATCCAAGAACTGGACATAATATTAAGTTACCGGGTACCAGAAATTCTTCGGCGAAGAAAAAACCAACAAATATGCAATTTCTGTAAAGGTAATACGATTACAAAAAACCTTGATACTTACAGTTCCAGCAGTATCTAAAATTTCCAACATGCATTGCTGTCCATCGACTTCGACTTGTTTCCTATAACTGTCTTCTATTGTCGGATCATATTTTTCTACGAAAATTCCTTGCACGAATTGCACTGTTAGTGCTGATTTGCCTACACCCCCCGAACCCAACACAACGATCTTGTACTCTCGCATCTTCCTGGTATTATTTGGCTTATAGTCTGAAAGGGAAATTACTAACATAAGTTACTGGTAGAAATATGGATCATTATCGTGTAAAATCATATTTGCGATGGAAGATGAGACACGAATTAGTAATCCATACTCGGGCAAATTTATAAAATATTTACATACAATCATGTGACAAATAAAAAGGCACTTTAAAAAAGTTTGATGGCACATTTGAGATTAGGTACTAAACCCCCGAAAACAAATAAAACCAGATAGTAAAAGGCTCTTGCTAACAATAGATAGATAGGTTCAATATTTTCCAGCTGTAAATGAATATTAATATTTTTCAGAATCGTATAGAGGCTAAACTTTATCTGATCATCCGGCTTGTAATGAGAAGTTCATTTGTTAATGTGGAACACTGTGGAAAAGAGCTAACTACTACTAACAGGGTAATGGACATAATTATTTATTTGAGTAATACTGTAATTTATGATCCGAAGACTATTTTCTTCGCATTTATGCCACAAACAAGAGTTTTTAATTATTGGGGGATATTAATGAAAATTAGTTGTATAAGAAATTCGGCCTTTTATGGAAGTTAATTGGCTGAAATTATAAACAAATTACTTGGCCCAACAAAAGCCTTATATTCAATGCCTGAAAGTGACTTATTGAATAATTTACCGTTTGAATAGATTTCCATCAAGGCAGGGGAATCAACAAGACCCACACACTGAGAAACCCTTCTACAAGCAACAGTGAATACAAGTTTAATTATAATTAGAACTGCTGGCATTTTCAGAATTAAAGATGCTTGTGCTAGTTTAGTTAAAGGCGATGTAATTGCTCCCTCAGTTCGCTTTACTCGCAAATTTTCAATAAAAGAATGTAGCCTTTTGATATGTCAATCATTTTACAAGTTGTATACAATTTGTAGTTTACTACGCTGGAGACGTGTTTATTTAACATCTTGGTTCGTGATAAGGAGAATTAATGGTCTAAAATCAACAAATACTTTTAGATTTAATCGCCTCAATTCTTTACGACAACAAAAAGAAATGGACAGAGCGCAGGTGAATGAGTACGATAAAACAAGTTGAGAATCAAATACAGATTTCCTATTTCTTCAACTGCTACAACAAATTTCAAACGATCCTAAACGATAGCTCTGATTTTCAAACTAGGGCAATTTTTCTTCGATAAGATTTATTTTGCGAGTTTTCGACATTGCATTATTTCAGAGAGGACTGGCGTAGCCAGGGACAATAAAGCTGTGTGAATTACGTTGACAAACTTAACTATAAATCTCCATAACTAGTAGAAGTGGAAGAGGCTCCGTAGTAGAGGAAAATACATGTTTGATTGAAGCACCTATTTTAAATTGCCACTTGTATAAAGGAAATGTGTCGCGCTTCGTGAGTTTGCGTCAATTCCAATCACTTAAAAACCGTTCTATGATAAAAAATCTAATATTGGAAATAATTAGAAGAATCAATAAAATATAACATTATGAATTTTAGGAATAATTGCCCAACTGTCAACTTGTTAATGTGATTATTTTTCATAGCAGCTTAACACTATACTTAAAGTTTTATGTTTACTTAATAGACACCTATGCTTTTGTTTGCTTTTGAGATTTTACTTAAATTGATTAACCAATTAAACGAGATATTTTTTAAATAAAGTGTGTATATTTATTGCATAGTGTGTGTAATTAGTGTATAGGTATACCGGGTGTCAATTTGAAAACTTCCCACCCTTAATATCTTTCTTGCAGTTCAGAAAATTTTTCAATTTTGTCTCAATTGAGAGGTTTGCTATTTAAGCGTCGAAACACGAAAGCAAACATATTTGACATTAAAACATAACGATAACATTAAAAGATGTTTGCGTTTCTGACTGGCTGGTAAAAGATCCAAACATCCCAATAGGAGAAAAATAGTATAAAGAAAACAAAACAACACATATCAATAATATAATATTGTGTGAGAATAAGTTTTACCAATTTATTCCAACCGTCCAAAAACAAAGACTTATCGATAATTGTAAAGAAACTGTCTGCATAATACGTTGATAGAAGGTTCAGTTTTTTTTAAATAACAGCTTGGTGCATGATTTCAGAGTTAACTAGAGTACGATAAAATATTAAAGTGGTGTAGGAAACGATTTCTGGACATTTTCCTATTTTTAGAGCTGAACCAATTCATGCAGCCATGACAAAAAATAATTTCACAAACTTTTTTTTATAATATGCATGGATATAACGACGAAATATTTTGCAACGTGATTAAGTATAGAGAATAAAATAATAAACAAGTCGTTTCTGTCAACATGCCTCAAACATTCCTTCTTAAAGTAATTAGAATCTCTTAAAGAGGGAATTATGAAGATGATTGTTTCCAATATATTCTAAACAGTTTGTGCTAAAACTATGAAGGTTGATAGAGGAAATTTGATGTCTATGTAACCGTGCATTGGGTTTGGTATTCAAAAATTTCTGGAATGAATTAAGTAAAGGGATTTTTTTACTGTCAGGTTGAAAGTGTAAGAGGTTCTTGTTTTTGAACGTTTATTTGACAACAAATTGCAGTGTAAACATGGAAGTTGTATAAGAAAAGAGTAAAATAACTTTTATAGTACACTCGAGAATGAAAAAGAATACGGGCAGGCATACGTCAATAAAATGAAGAGACATTCGCCTGAAAAATTCACCTAATCCAGAGGCAAGAAATTTTAGGCTCATGTAGTTTTTAAAACAAGATAGTACAACTTTCTATTAAGTGCTCAGTTTTGTGGCATGTGATGGAGATTTCGCTCCAATTGAAAGAAGAAAGCGTGCTATAAACGGTGTCAAATGATATACAAAATGTAATAACTTCCCCAAAATATGATCAGCCCTTCGAGGCTTCTCACATGTCTGTACACGAATTTTGAAAGACAGAAGAATCTCCAGACACATTTCCCAACACCAAAGCCTTAACATATCAATAAGACAGAAGAATAACGATTGATTATAGAAATCCAACAGTACTTTATATAAAATAATGTTTTGCCAAACTCGAAGGCTAAAAAACCAATATGACAAAAAACATCAAATTTGCAGAAATAAAACTTCTACCATTTAACCCTTAAGAACAATATTACCATTAGACAACATGGGTCAAGCCGATACTTTCCCGAACCTCCTTCCTTTTCGTTTAGCAGGCGATTAATATTTAACGATTATCTAATCGTAAAATAATATCATTTCATATACTTATTTGGAAATTTTTATTGCCTTCTAACATTTTACAAATCAAAGACGAATAAAGTGATAAAACAAAAAATATACATAAATCAAACAAGAAAATTTATGAAAAATAAAGAAAGTTAGGGAAGTAAAAGCAAAGGTAAATTCCCTAGGCAATGATCAAATAAGTTTCTTCGGCCGTAGACATTAAAGATCAAAGACAATTAAACAGAAAAACAAACAAATACACGTAATTGAAAAAAATTGCGGTTGTGATTTGTGACAAGATAATGTATATACGATATAATGTGAATAACAAAACAATTTGGGATTCTCGATTGGGCCCGTTGGTCCACCGGCCCTGAAGCTACCACCAGCAAAAATATTTATCGTCCATGATTGGAAAATCCGAACACAAAACATTTTATAGAAAATATCTTAACTGAAGAAATTTCGGGCCTGAACAGTAGCTCAACTCACCTGTAATACTAATTACAACTGTAAGTACTAACTTACAACCTTAATAAGAATTTTATTTTGGCACTTATTCCTTAACTTTTTTTATTATTGATATTTAATTTGTTTATTGGTAAATAACGCATTAAATTTTTGTTCTACCATTTACTGTTTCTAGATGTTAAGAATGGCTTAGAAAGGTTTATATTAGAACATATAAAAAATTGTGTTTTCTTAATGAAGTATGTAAGTAGGTACGTGGCGCTTAGCGTCACTCTTTGATTGTAACGCATATTGCTGAAAATATTGCCAAAAAGATTATCCAAGTTTTCCCTTCCAGTTCTTTTCGGGGTTCGTTTATAATAACTTTTCTTATTAAGTTAATATTTAGAATCACCTATAAATATATGGTGGTTATTTCCGGACAGAATAAAAACTGTATTTTTTAATAAACAGCAAGATAAAATACTTAATTTATTTAAGATTTGAATACATTAACGAATCAAATTTTATTAATAGAATTTATTTCCTCATGTCTAATATAAATCTTAACTGTGTAGTAAAAAGCTGTGAAAACCGAATTACTGTTTATCTATAAAGTTGGCAAGTTTCGAATATCTGTAATATTGTATACAAGTATTTTTGACAATGGAGTTGAACATGAAATATTGGGTCTCATGAATAAAACGTAGTAGTAAATACTTTTACTTCAATTCTTAAAGCAAAACCTTCTAAGTAAATGATAAAAAAAAAGCTCGAGCACTTGCTTTACACCCGAAGGAAAAGCATTTGCTGCACTATAAGAAATACTTCAGATTATATGAATAGTCATGCTTTTGCTAGGGCGTTATAACAAAAGCTTAATTTTTCTTAAGGTACCTCCAGCGAAAGGAACCCGATAGGATAATTTGTTGAAGACAAGACGGTGTACTGAACGTTGCATGGGACAGCCAGAAGGTATCCAAAAACTAATAATGTGCTGAGAGGTTCTACACATTTCAAAAACACTATGGGAGACAGACTTCGAATTGGAAGAAGTGGAACTTAATAACGCCATTGAAAAAAATGCGGACGACGATAACATTAGAAGTAGAATGGGAAGGCGGGAAGAAATTAGATTTTGAAAAAAGTGCACTACAAATTTGATCCGATCGTACTCTTAAGAAGTTTTGATGTCTTCCTCTAAGCTCATAGCGTTGCTCTTTCTTCCACACTCACATTATAACTACTACAAAGTACCCATGTCTCTTATATTCAACCAGACATTATGATAAAAATATTATTTTCTAGGCTTGTTAAAAAGCGTGGCAAAAAGATTAATTAACGAAGCGAACGAAACGAAGCAAATGCTTTTCTTTCTACCTTTTGCTTCAAAGGATTTGCCTTTACTTTGTACTTCGAGCAAATGCTCCATTTTTATTCATCAGATCCATTCTCTTTTGTATGCTTTAAATAAAATACCTGATGCTTTTCCACCAAGGCAAATTTAATTGTCCACATTTGCAAAATCCACAATAAAAGACGAATTCCCTATTAATAGGTATTACCAATGTTTTTTGCATGGCAAGTATGCCAAAAATTACTCAGCTTTGTTAGTCATGAGCTCCAGTGGTCGTTCTAAGAGTATTAAAACATTACAATTACCCACCGGAAATTTGGGGCCATGATTTCGATTGAAATAAATGTGAGGTTGTATTAATTTAAATATTTGGTCTCTCTAGGAAATTAGTGGGTTTGCAAATAGGCAAAGAAGATAAGGGTACCCTGTCCCAGCTGAGATCTATTTTTGCACATTTGGAACCTAAGGACGAAAACCTGGTAAAATGGAACCTAATGAACCACATATTAACCATGAAGGGATCACTAAATACTGCTAAACCTAATAAAAATTTAAATGCCTACTAACATGGACTAATGTATGATTTACGTACATTTTTATGGTAAACTGCAAGTGGAGGTCCTTGGATTTCAAAGTTTATTCTGCACTTCACAAAGACGTTGAAGGATTAATGTCAAAATAGTCCAAATCCTCTTGGATTTACACTGTCATGGCTCAACAAATACGAGTACTATTCTTGTAACTCATTTTTTTCACTCACTATAAGGGTATCGTGGACGATTCCTCGGTATATTCCAGTGCTGAGTATGATTTCAAGGAATGTTGTAAACTTATCCTAAGTATTTAACCGTTAATTTGGTATCGGGCGATGCCGAGTTTACTAAAAATTAGCCTATCTATTAAATATATCACCGCTTCTATTCGACTTCGACACTACGTTTGACTTGCACTAGCGCTTGAAGCGCATGCCATGTTGCAAGCTTATTTTTCTCCCGATTGAATAGGCATGAATAATGATAAATTAAGTTTGCAAACAATTACCTTTAAATTAATGTCTGACAATATAAAAAAAATTAGTAGTTTGGAAAGAGCAATTAGAAGCAATAAACCCCAATCAGCTCAACTGCATCAGAAAAAAAAACATTTATAGTGCTCTCTGAGAGTTTGCTGAATAAAATTAGATGTACATTAACAATGTATTTTTTTCTATTATCATACTACACAAAGAACTCGTTAACGATTATTATCAATTGTAATCGGATATGCTGCGAAATTCGCACTATGGCAACCTTGTACGCTTGCCGCACCCGACGGATGCTTTTAGCAATATTTCAACCCTAATTAACCGCTAGATGGCAGATCGTGACAAGCAGTAAAATCGTTGATATTTGAATTACGATAGTGGTATAAGGAAACATAAGTAAATCAAATTAAAAAAACCCAAAACATACACATCCCGATCATAGAAAACATGTTTACAAGTCGATATGATTATATAACAATCTTTCCAAGCCCGTCAAATACTGTGTGACTTTTCGTTCCCACAGTCCTATTTTGTTTGTTGATTTTGAATGTAATGCTGCGCGCAATTCGCTCCGTTTAGATTAAAAAATATACATTTTTCAGTTTTTATGCAAGAAGTTACCAATTTTCTTATAAAGGAGTTTTTCCTTCATCGTTTTATGGTGTTTTCGCGATCGATTGTGCGGTTTTAGTGAAAAATAACGCCTATTTTGATCTGCGAACTTTCTCTCACTGGCTGTCACAACGTGCATTTGGAATTTCAAGACATTTTCGGATTTTTCGGGATTTTGCGGCCATGGAAATGAACTATGGGGTGAGCAACTTAAAGGTAAATGTACTTAATTTCAACTTCGACCCTTTAGCGGCTTTCAACAAAATACACATCATATGTTGACCTTCTGGCAACTTATAGGTATGTTACCTAAGTGTTGTAATAATCTTTAAAATAGTTATGGTTAGAAATTGCTTGATTTGCTTGACAAAAGCGTATTTAAGGTACCAAATAACATTCTTAAAGAATAAGTAAGGGAATTGTGTGCCTTGATAGAACCCCTAAGGAAATATTGTGATAACTTTCTAAACAACAGTCCTATTAATTCCAAATCAAATTCATTCCTGGGTTTCAGTCATTTATTGTCTCTATTTATCAATCAAAATACGTTTCGGTGTATTTTTCCACCATCATCAGTTTTTATGTGTAGCGTTGTTGCTGCTTTAAGCCTTGGCATGCATTTTCAATTTTCAAAAACGCTACACATAAAAACTGATGATGGTGGAAAAATACACCGAAACGTATTTTGATTGATAAATAGAGACAATAAATGACTGAAACCTAGGAATTAATTTGATTTGGAATTGAAACACAGTCAG